AAAAATGGAGGAAAAATGACTTTATTTTTTTTTGAAATTTTTTAATTTTTAATTTATTTTTGCTATGATATTTTCATTGTCTGCATCATCCAAAGCTGGCTATGGTTAGTCCATCTATCAATTAGGAAAATTACAATACCATCAAATTAAGTTAAAAGGATGTGATGGGACCTCTTCCTCATCCTCTTTCATCTATGTAATCCCTTCTCTTTGAGTCCACAGCCCATATCAACCTTTTTTCTCCTTTTCTTTTGAAACAAATTAAATATCAAAACAAGATGATTAGACAGGGCAGTTAGGGAGGCCATAGGTATAACAACCTTTTTAACTTTAACAGTGCTAAGAAAATAAATTGGATAATACTGTAATTTGGTCTAATTTGTTTTTTTCATTTTCCCACCACTCGCACCCACCCGCAAAATAATTTATGTTTGAGATTCTGACCTAAAGATTTTAGATACAAATATAATAAGTGAAATAAATCAATTATTAAATGAGGTAATCAAACAAAAAGGAAAATATTAACGCAATATAAAAATACTGTATGGCAGTCAAAGGGGGTATGGCTTATGACCACAGAGTGTTGGATTTGACGGGGAGGGGGTGGGGGGATGAACGGCGATGAAATTGATGATTTTATTCATTCCAGCTATGTCGCCTAAAAGTTGGGTAAGAAAAACTAATGGTATCACAAAAAGCAACTTCCTCTTGCAAGTTGTACCCAAAGTCAAAGCTCTCTACTTATTTTTTGGACTATATATATGTACTAGGATAATTCTCCATTTGATTATTAAAAAAATTATATTTTTTAATATGGTATTTAAATAAAAATTAATTAAATATTTAAATTATATTTTTATGTATTAAATTTTTTTAATTTTTAATATCGTTAAAATAATATTGATGTTGTATTTAAATATTGAAATGGATAACACATAATTATTATATAATCTAAATGTGATTGTCGTGTATCATTTTAAAAAATAAAAAAAATTTTTAAATATTTTTTATTTTTATTCTTTAAAAAAATACTTGACAATCGCATCATTATCATATGATAATTATTAGTTATTCACATTAACATTTAAATATTATATAAGTATTACTCTAAGTGTGTTAAGGGATTGGGATAATTTAATTATACGAAATTAAAGTTTATATACTTTATTAAGAAATTTTTTACTTTAAGGTTTCGTTTGTTATGTAAAAAATGATTTTTGAAAAATGATTTTTGAAAAATGTTTACATTTTATGAAATAAAAGAGATTTTTTATTGTTTAAATGAGTTAATGAAAAACATTTTTTTTATTTAGTTTTTTTTTTAAATATGTCTTTTTTCAAATAATATTAATATAACTATTAAAATATTAAAAATTATTTATTATTAAAATATATTAAATTATTTATTATTAAAATTATTAATATTAAAAATAATTATATTTTAATAATAATATTTAATATTAAAATGTTATGTTAATATAAAAAATACTTAAAATAAAATTATTTATTATTCTTTATATTATTTATTAATAATTAAAATATTATTTATTAATATATTATATTAATAGTATATTATTTATTCATATAATATTATTATTAATATATTATAATATAATATTATTTATAAGTAAAATTATGCTTAAAAGTATTAATTAATAATTATATTTATAGATAACTCTTTTTCGAAAAATGTCTTTTCATTTTCAAATCCATAAATATAATTTGCAGAAAAATTGTCTCATTTTTCGTTAATCAATAAATTATTTTTTGTTGATCAATCAAATTTTTATCAAACAAATATTTAAAAATACAAAAATCATTTTTTTAAAATTATTTTTCGTAAAATAAATGGAATCTAACTGTCACAATAAAAAAACTATACTTATTTTAGGGGTCAAACGAGATATTATGCGTATATAATATTATGTTAACAATGAGATGTGATTTTCTCTCCTGACGTAAAATCTCACCTCATTTACTCAAAATTGGATTGAACAAGTCATTTATGATTAGTTTTGAACTCTTATTAAAAATAAGATATTAAAAGGTATTTGCAAAATTTGACAATGTTGAGACACAATCACATTTGATCAAGATATTTATTCATATAATATTATTAATCAATAGATTGTAATATAATATTATTTATAAGTAAAATTATGCTTAAAAGTATTAATTAATAATTATATTTATAGATAGCTCTTTTTCAACTCTTCTAATCACAATTGGACGCTTTGACAGATTAATAATTATTAAGACAAGTTTCATACGATGGTAAAATATTTTAGGAAAAAGGTTTTTTAATCTAATTTGCATAATAAATCTTATTTTCACTGAATAGACTAGTAATAAACACAATTAAAAAAAAAAAAGGTAAAAATTTAAGAAAATCTTAAGAGAAAATAGAGAAAAAGAGAATTTAGAAGTGTTGTGACTGAATCTTACCCTTGCCAAAATTATTATTTAGATAAATTTTACATAAAAATAAATAAATAATAAATATAATTATAATAGCTGATTTATGTTTGTAGAAAATTTACTTATTTATTTATATTATGAGCAAAATTGGACTTAATTGACTGATTTATCTTTTTTTTTTTTCAGAGCAACATCCTATAAACTTTGAGATTAAAATAACAAGATTTTTTTATATTGTTAAAATTTGAATTTTGATAAGGACCAAAAAAATTTTTTGATCATTAAAATTTAAAGTTTAATGCTCCATTAACAAATCATACCATTGTTAATGTTAAAAAAAAAAAAAAAAACATAATTCCTTAAATCTAAAGCCATGCATCTCTTTGTTTCTATTAGAAACTATTTATCTAGTTTCAAATTTTTAAAAATGTAAACGAGGACATTCAAGCCGGATTCACAGCTTCCATAAACGATAATGACATATCATTTCTTTAAAAAAAATTAATTTAGAGTTTTAAATTTACATACCATTTTTTATTTGAAAAATGATTGCTTTTAGTTCATTTTCAAGTTTTTTTTTTTTTTTTGAATTTGTGATGTGTGTGTGGAAAAGGGAATGTTGGGTTAAAACGTCCTTTTATTAGCCCAAGTCGAAATGGACCTCAGCCTGTTAATAAAGCCCAATAAAGAGCAGAAACTTCCTGGGCTAAGGGCACAAAGCCCAATCAAATTGGTCTTATCACGATTTAGAAGAAAAGAAAGGGTATTACCGTAAAAGCACCCTAAGTTAACGTTGAGAATCCATCATCATAATCATAAATAAATCCAATTTTCATAAAAATATCGTAATCTTAACGAGAAACCACTGATAGAAAACAAAGCCGGTTGTTGATCGACAAAAGAAAAAAGATCCACGGTCGAAAATTTCAAGAAAATTTCGTTAAGGAAGCAAGAAATACTGGTTAAATTTCGTCTTGCGATGCATTTATATATGTAAGTTTATGTTGGGTTAAAAGCCTTCAATCCAATCATGTTAACGGAAGCAAAATCAAATAATAAATTAAACATACAAGAGATAACAATTTAACGTGTTTCGATCCAATCAACCTACGTTCACGGATGAGAAACAAGATTCACTAGTTGTAGAGAATTACAAACAAATATCAAATCATCAACTACACTCAACAATCAATACTTATAAGACATTTTTAATCTCTTTTAGTCCTATATAGTATTCTCAACTCAAACAAACACAAACCCAAACAAACACAATTTAACGTGGTTCGGTCCAATCAACCTACGTCCACAGATGAGAAACAAGATCCACTAGTTGCAGAGAATTACAAACATACATTAAATCATCAACTACACTCAACAATCAATACTTAACACTCTTAATTTCTTTTAGTCCTATGTAGTATTCTTAACCCAAACAAATACAAACCCAAACTCTTGTGTACCTTTTTAACATAACCAAACATATATCCATATGCTCTCAAACATCATATCTACGTGGATCATCGCAGTTTTCTTTAGTCCACTCATAAATAAACATACACACCCATAAGATGTAAAGTCTCAATACTCCTATGGGGTGTCTATCTCACAAAATCATACAACTCTCTTATATCTTTTTCTCATACCAAATCTTATAAAGACTTCGCCTATTTATAACCATACAAACTTATCCATTAAGAATCCCTTTAATCTTAAAATTTTTTTCTTATAAATCAAACTTACCTATTAAGAATCTATTTCCTTTTAAAATTATTTTTTTTGCAAGTTAAACTTACCTATTAAGAATCCTCTTTCTCTTAAAATTTTTTTTTTCAAGTCTTCTTGTCCATCAAGCAATATCTAACAAATCTTTTATGAGATTTGAGTTAATATTCTCAACAATCTCCACCTTGACTCAAATTTCATCAAATCATCTATCTTCATACTAGACATGTTTGACTCCACCTGTAATGTAAGTCTCACAATCATCTTCTCTTCTCTTATGTTTTCACGCTTCATACAAACTAATTCTCAATCTTCAAAACTTAAACTCGAACTCTTATCTTGAATCGAGTTATTCTGGACTTGCTTCTTCCCATATCTCAAACCATGCACTTCTCACATCTTAAACCTTTAGTTTTTTTCTCACATTTCGAACTTTCGGCTCTTTCACGTCTCGAACTTTCGACTCATTCATATATTGAATCTTCAACTCTTCTCACATTTCGAATATTCAGCTCTGATACTACTTGTTGGAAAACACCACAACTCTGATATAAATTTACCTATTAAGAATCTCTCTTCTCTTAAAATTCTTCTCTTATAAGTTAAACTTACTTATTAAAAATTTTTTTTTTTAAAAATTTTTCTCTTACAAGTCAAACTTACCTATTAAAAATCATCTTTCTCTTAAAATTTTTTTTTACAAATTTTCTTATTCATAAAAAAATATCTAACAAATTTCAAATAAATTTAAAATAAATCTCTTATGAGATTTGAATCAATATTCTTTTCTCTCTCGAACACTTCATAGTCCCTTTTTCCCAAAAATTTTATCATAAGAAAGACTTTAATAATCTGAGGGTCTTTTGGATCGAATGTTTTGATAACCGCTTTTGATAGAAATAAATGGGATTCTTTTTTTGGTGTCCGGAAATTTATTGAAGTTTTACATGTTTCTTTACTTTGTCCGTTCCGGCAGCCCTATCAGTCCGATTGCTCCATCGCCTGCTTCTTCAATTACTGCATCGTCTTCGTCCATGTCATCGGTGGCTTCTCCAGCTTCGACTTGTTCAAAGCAAACAATAATGGAGGCTGCATCGGGTATTGTCGAGGGTAAAACTGACGTAGCTTACGAGATCTTGACCCGGTTAGCTCAGGTTGCTAACGCTAAAGGGAATTCAGAGCAGAGGTTGATGGAATGTATGTTGTTGGCTCTTAAATCGCGGGTTAACTCAGTAGAAAACCCGCCACCGGTGGCTGAGTTGTTCAGCAAGGAACACGCTGCAACGACTCAGTTGCTCTACGATCTGTCTCCTTGTTTTAATCTCGGGTTCCTGGCTGCTAATTTGGCTATCCTTGATGCCATTTTGGACCAGCCAAGCTGTAATAAGTTACATGTTATTGATTTTGATATTGGGCAAGGAGGGCAGTATATGAATCTTCTCCACGCGCTGTCTGAACGTAGAAGTGGGAAGCCTGCAATGCTAAAGATCACAGGTATTGCTGATAATGGTGGGATTGAGAGGTTGAAGATGGTTGGCGATAATTTGAGTCGAATCGCTGAGGGATTGGGAGTTTGTTTCAAATTTAATGTGGTAGCGAGTCTTAAACTCAGCGATCTAAGTCGCGAGTCGCTCTGTTGCGAACCGGACGAGTCATTGGCTGTTAATTTTGCGTTCAAGCTTTATCAATGCCCGACGAGAGCGTGTCCGTGGAGAATCCAAGACACGAGCTTCTCCGTTGCGTGAAGGGATTGGGCCCGCGCGTGGTAACATTAGTGGAGCAAGAAATGAACACGAATACGGCGCCGTTCGCGTCGCGGGTGGGAGAAGCTTACGGATATTATGGAGCGTTGTTTGACTCGATTGAGTCGACCGTGCCGAGGGAGAGCTCAGATAGACTGAAGCTGGAGGAAGGGCTCTGGCGCAAAATTGCCAACTCAGTTGCGTGTGAGGGGAGGGATCGCGTTGAAAGATGCGAGGTTTTTGGGAAGTGGCGGACCCGGATGAGCATGGCGGGGTTTGAGTTAAAGCCACTGAGCCAAAGCGTTGCAGAGTTGATGCGTGCTACACTCAATTCTGGTAACTGTGTCAACCCGGGATTCACCGTCAAAGAAGAAAACGGAGGGGTTAGCTTTGGTTGGATGCGCCGAACTCTCACCGTCGCATCCGCTTGGCGTTAACCTCACTTCTCCCTTTTTCTCTTTTCAATATCATTATTAATTGTTATTATACTTTTAATATGAAAAATGGAAAAGAGCAAAAAAAAAAAAAAAGAAAAAATCCTACCAGACCCAAATAATAGAAGGAGTGTTTGTATTCGAGGAAAATTCTGAGCCTGCATTTTATTCGATGTTTTTTTTTTTTTGTTTTTTTGGCTTTGCGTGTGTGATGGGGTGATGGGTATAATGCTGACTTGTTGTATGGCAACGTTGTGTAGTTTGCCCTCACATTACTAAACAATTGGAGGGCTCCACTTTATGGATTATTATTGGTTTATTTTTATATATTTTCTTATTTTAGGCAAATTTTAATTGTTTGAGATTGGAATTATCGTACAAACTACATTCCTAGTAACGTAACATTGTTATGGCAATGGCAGGCGGTTTCACGTGTACGTGTTTGGATTTGATTTCAGACCCTTTTGATTTTGGTTACCAAACAATTTGTCTTCGGCCAATCGCTTATTCTCACCCAAAAGCTATACGTCCAAATTTTTCCAGTTAAGTTTTTAAATTTTAAAATGGAGGTTAATAAAATAATACATTTTAAGATTTTTAATTAAAAAATAATGTGTTAATTTTTGAATCTTATTTTAAAATTAAAAATTATATTAATAGTGCATTAATGATAAACTCAATTTATATTATATTTTCATAATTTTAATACATTTGTTTGATATAGATATTAAATACATTGATCTGCCGTAACTAAAAAAAAAGAAGATGGAAATTGGAAACAAGCAAAAATAAGGATAGTGGTAATTTCCATTTTCAAACAAACATCGTAATAAGGGAATTTTGTTATACCATTTCGTATAAAGAATGATTGTTATTTAGTTTGTATTTAAAGCTAGGCCTTCCTATTGCCACTTCACTTGTCACCCATTTATGATAGATAAGGATTTTTTATATATGTAAGTTTCTTTCTCAAACACTTAATAGTCTCTCTTTCCCAAGAATTATTATCATCAGAAAGACTTCAATAATCTGATGGTCTTTTGGATCGAATGTTTGGATAACCGCTTTTGATAGAAAAAATGGGATTCTTTTTTTGGTGTCAAGAAATTTATTGAAGTTTTACATGTTGTTTCTTCACTTTGTCTGTTGGCTCTATGCATTTTCATGATGATAATCCAGTGGAGTGTTCTTTTGGTTGAAATTGCCGTGAACTTGAAATGACTTGATATTGTCCTTTTATTTTTTTTTTAATTTTGGTTTAGAATTTTCATTTATATTTATCCGTAATAATTTTGGAGTTGTACGATAAATTTAGAAACAAAAATAAAAAAACGAAAAATAGAATTGTTATCGATTTTTTTTGGTTAGACACGATCAATCACTTATTAAAATATATAATTTTAATAAAATCTTAAAATTAATTAAATTTATCAAAATAATATTTTTAAAATTTACGTAACAATTTGAATTCAAAAATTAATTAAAAAATTTAAAATTCCGTATAAATTTGATGCCTACAATATCAGCTTCTAACTTGTACAGTCAAACAGTTTTGAGTCAGTGCTCTGCTAAAAAACAAGGACATGACATTGCGCGCTGATTGTTTTTTTCAAGATTAGTATGTGAATGTTCATTGTAATGGTTTATTTCTCCTAGAGTTTGCAACAGAGCGGATTCGATCATATTTTTGCTTTTTATATTTTTGACTCGAAGCTTTAATAATTTTTTTCAATACTTGACTCGCCCTGGAGATTTTAGTTGAAAATCCTACTTCGACCTATTAAAAATATTATTTTTTTAAATTTGATTCGATTCGACTCGAATTTAATTTATTGTTAATTTAAATTTATTAAAAACTTAACAAATTATAGTCTAAATATATTACATGCATTAACAAATTTAATTAATTTTTAATCAATGAAAATTATTCAAAGTGTTTTTGGTCAGAAAACACTTTGAATAATCCTTACAAAAAATTAAATAGGATTATTCAAGACGTTTATGGTAAAAACACCTTGAATAATCTTTTTCAATTTTTATAAGAAGATTATTGAAGGCGTTTATGACAAAAAAACACCTTGAATAATTTTTAAACCCTAAACCCTAAATTCAAAAAAATTTAAGAGGATTATTCAAGATGTTTTTGCTCAGAAAACGCCTTGAATAACCTCTTACAAAAAATTGAATAGGACTATTGAAGGTGTTTCTGGCTAAAAGCACATTGAATAATTTCTAAACCCTAAACTCATAAAAATTTAAAGAAATTATTCAAGGTGTTTGCGCCCAGAAAACGCCTTTAATAATCCCTTATAAAAAATTAAATAGGGTTATTCGAGGTATTTATAGCAAAAAATACCTTGAATAACTTCTATTAAATTTTTTGTAAGAAATTATTCAAGATATTTTTTGTCATAAATGCCTTGAATAACCCCACTCAATTTTTTTGTAAGAGATCATTGAAAGAGTTTTTCATGCCAAATGCCACATATAAATCAAATTTTTTACCAGTAGAAACTTATAATTAACTTGCATTCATTTTTAAACATGATTTTCAAAATGATAACGGTTATTTCATAATTTTTTAGTCAAGTCAAATTTAAAAATAACGTTACTTCTCCCTTGGAATTCTAGAATACCACAGGGAGATGTGGGTTTTTAATTTCAGGACTTTGGGTACTATTGAAAATCTATCAATTTTCTCCAGAATCAGATTATGTTGAACCAAATATTGGAATTAAATACCTAATAGTAAGATTCCAGGAGAAAACGTATAGATTCTTCCGAACCAAACGCCCTATTAGTAAATTAAAGCTCACAAATTGTCACAATAGATTATGAAATTGTAAAATATATAAAACTTAGTAAACTAAAATTCAAATATTAAACAAGCATAAGTTAATAACTAAAATTTAAACATAGTTCATGATACAAGATAAAGATAAAAGGTATTTTGGTAAATATTTCGGGTCGGGTCAGGTTTCATATAAACTCGATCTGACCTAAATCCACCATTCAAAAAAATAAAACTGACCCGATTTGACCCGAAATCTTTTTTTTTTTTTAAATTCGACCATAGATAATCGGGTCAGGTCAAAACCCGATGATTTCGGTTTGATTTGTCGTCTTTAATTTCTCCCTTATGATTTTCTATTGAATCATGTCTTAATGGTTTTTTTATTTATGTCATATGTGTCAGGCCTTTTAATTGACCAATACCAAATGGGAATGGGGTTAGATTTCACATTCTTAACAATCTCTCCCTTTAGTCCCGTTAGCAAGAGATTTATGACTATAGTAATTTCATTTGAAACTTATATTGGTTAAGGAATCCATTCTGATTAAGTTACTATAGAGCTCAAACTTTTTTCTAAAAACTATCTTAGTCAACATATCTATTGCATTCTTATCAGTATGAATTTTTTTCAATTGCATTTATTGCTCTTCAATCACTGAAAGCACTGTGATATCTAATATCAATATGCTTTGTTTTAATATGGTACATGACATTCTTACTCAAATCTAAAGCACTTTGACTATTACAAAATATCATATATTCTTTCTGATTTAACTTTAATTTAAGAAAAAAATGTTTTATCTAAACCATTTCTTTACCTACTTCAGTTGCTGTAATATATTTAATCTCTGTAGTTGATAAGACAATATATTTTTTTAACTTAGACTGTCAAGATATAGTTTCTCTTGCAAAAGTGAATAAATACTCCAAAGTAGACCTTTACTATCAAAATCACCTATCATATCGGCATTAGTAAACCTTTCTATAACTGATTGTGTAGTTTCATAATTCAAATATATTTTTGAGGTGCCCCTCAAATATCTAAAAATTTATTTTACTACTTTCTAATGAATTTTTTTTGAATTAAAAAAAAATATGCTCACTACACCAACTGTATGATTAATGTTAAGTTGTGTACAAATTATAAGATACATTAAAGAATCAATTATAGAAGAATAAAAAATATTAGACATTGTTAGTTGCTCTTTCTTAGTCACCGGTCAAAATTTCTTACTTAGATGAAAATGGATGTTAAATGGATTGCTAACTGATTTAGTATATTGCATGTTAAATTTATTAAGCACCCTTTTAATATACTTTTCTTGTGATAATAATAGTTTTTCAGCTCTCCTATCTTGAATAATATCCATACTGAGAATTTATTTTGCTAGACTTAAATCTTTCGTATCAAAAGACTTAGACAATTGTTCATTCAACTTGTGAATCATACCAGTATCTTCTTTTAGAATCAACATATAATAAAAGAATAATGAAGTTATCATCAAAATTTTTTTTGACAAAGGATCCGTTGATATTCTTTTATAACTGTGACTCATCATAAAAAAATCAAACTTTTTATACCATTACCATGAAGCTTGTTTCAAGCTATACAAGTTTTTTTTTTTCAGTTTACAAACTAAATGCTCTTTTTTTTTTTCACTTTAAAACCTTCAAATTGATTCATATAAATGTTCTCATGCAAGTCACCATGTAAAAATGTAGTTTTAATATCAAGTTGGTCAAGCTCAAGATTCAGATCAGCTATTAATCTCAGTTTCACTCTAATGGAACTTATGTTCACAATTAGAGAGAATATCTTATCAAATAAATACCAGATTTTTAAGAAAATTTTTTACCACTAATCGAACTTAGTACCTTACTAGCTTGTCACCATCTTTTTTCAGCTTAAACATCAATATATTCTTCAATAGCCTTATCCCATTTTAAAGTTTAACAAGATTATATGTATTAATTTTTCATAATGGCTCAATTTATTCTTTTATTGCTTTTAACCAGTGCTTTTTGTTTGGAGTAGTCTGCACATCTTAAAAGATCTTTAGCTCCCTCTAGTAACTAAAATAAAATATGAACTTAGATACCTAGTAGATGGTCGATTTTTTTGGTAAATCTCTTAGGTTGAGACTCTCCTTACTCAACACTCTCTGATGGAGAAAACTATTTTTTCTGCTCAAAATTGATTGCATCTGGTTTATTACTATGGCTGGCTTATTACTATGCTGTGGTGTTCTAATTTCTGTCATTTCATGCCAAATCTCATACTTTGAACAATATTCTTCAAAGTCTTTAGATATGTATCTTCCATCATTATTAGTCTGAATACACTTTAAGGGTAACTCTGTCATCCTTTCTACCATGACATAAAATTTTTAAAAGTACTGTAGTATCTGACTTTTATTTTTCAACGTATACATTCAAATCTTACCTGAAACATCATCAATAAAAGTAACAAAATACATGCTATCACCTAATGATTTAACATTAATGAGACCATATATATCAAAATGAATCAATTTTAATTTGTTTTCTTTTCTCTGAGAACACTTACGAAAAGAAACTTTATAACGCTTGTCATGTAAATAATAATAACATGAATCGAGAAACATACCTTTAATCAAGAAAATTAGAGACTGCATTGCCAAACTTATAACCCTTTTTTGCTCATGTGTGCCAACCTTTTATGCCACATATTTACTGAAGCATCATCCTCAACGACATTTATTTATTTGCCTTTTAATTGTATTCATAACTTATACATTGTGCAACATAATTTTTTTCTTGTAACTACCATAGATCTTTTGAGAAGCTTTTATTGTCCATTATTTTGTGACTCTCATATCTTTTCTTATCAAGGGCATTAATCATAAGTAAGTTCATTTTAATATCTAAAATGTGTTTAACATCACTCAAAGTCAACATATAGCTCGTGTTAGTTTGTACAATAATATTGCCAATCCCAACAATTTACAACACACTCTTATTTTTCATCTTAATGCAAGTAGGGTCTTCTGCTTTGTAAGTTATAAATAACTTTCTCTTAGGAATAAAATGATATACTGCTCCTGTGTCAATTATCTATTCAATGTCGGGATCATTAACATGATTACAATCACCATATGTATAAATCAAGGTAATTGAATTACATCTGAATTCACTGCTGTAATATTACCATTATTTGAACTCTTGTCTTTCTCATTGTTTCACTTTTACTTCAAGATTTTACAATATTATTTCATATGACCAAGTTTATCACAATGGTAACACTTCACTTTATTTTTGAACTTGGATCTTAGACTCACTACAACTTTTTGATTTCTAACCTTTGTCGATTTTTTTACCCCTATTCTCTGCAATAAGAGCTTGATTCCTAAAGTCTGAATCTTTTCACCTTGTTTCTTCATTAAGCATATTATCTTTTACCATCTCCAATGTCACATTATAGTCAAAAGCTAAATTAAGAACAGTCACAATTAAAGTATTTAAGTTGTCTGGCAATAAACCTAAAAGAAACAATGCTTTTATTTCATCATCCATTTTAAGTTCTATAGTAGTCATCCGATTGAATATATCTTGAAAATCATTCAAATATTCTGTAATCGATCGTCTACACTTGTACCATAAGGTTGCAAGCTTTTTAATAAGCATAACTTTATTCATGCATTTTTTCTTTCATACAATGCTATTAATTTTTCTCAAATTGTCTCTTGTGTTATATGAGGGAATACGTTAATATCAATCTATTTTTTGATTGTATTCAGCGTCTTTTTGTCTAGCTTCTTCTAACTTTCATTTTTCGTATCTGCTGGCTTAACTAAATCACCAAATATTGGCTTATACAAAACTAAATCACCTAATACCGACTTATACAAATCTTTACAGTATAAAAGATCTTTCATCATAAGCTTTCAAATAGAATAATTTGATGCTGTTAATTTTATCATGGAACCTGTATCACTTTTCATGATCTCAAATAAAATTTACTTCTATCATGAGTTACTTTTATATCAATATCTAAAAAATAACCGTAGCTCTAATACCAATTATTGAGGAGATAAGCCACACTTTGAGCCATGGGAGCACATTAAAGAACCCATACATATATATTGAAAACCATTTAGCCCAAAAGTTTAAGCTATTAGGTTTTTGGATATATATATTTTTTGTAAGAAAAATTCGGGGTAGATAGACTGCTCAGTCCCCCAAGTCAGGGCAAGATGTGCCGTACCTAACAGCCTAAGACAGGTAGCTACAGGTCGTGCATTCGAGATGACCTCAACAAATAGCCACCGACAAGACTCGAACCTAAGATCTCTTCGTTGAGGAGGATGAACCTAATCGATTGGATATTTCATATATATATATATATATATAACATCTTAATCTCATTTTTTTGGTGATATAAAATTTTTTTCTTACATATAAACCATCCCATCACTATGTGATTTGAGTCAATGTTTTTCTTCTCCAAGAGTTGTTGCGGAGCAAAAGAACGTTTCTAAAGCACCAAAGAAAGGAAAGGAGGAAACCACTTGGTGACTTATCCAATTCGATGAATCCTCTTCCAAAGCAGAACACCATTTCTGACAAAGAGACGACTACTACCTGTAAGATTCCATTAGGTGCGTACAAAAAAAAGAGCGTCTCTAAGTGTAGACTAATGCCAGTATAGCACTTTCTGACATTTTGAACTCGATCAAGCTTTGCGTGCGCCAGACTGCCGCAAAGAATTGAAATGCAAGTTAAAGCATTGTGATAGAAGAGGAATATTTTCTTCACATCCATCAGGAATGCATCAAAGCTCAAGAACGCTCTATGCATATGAATGAGTTTCAATAAATGGTTGGACTGAACAAGGTTAAAGAAAACTCATACCTTTTTGGCTTAATTAGAAAGATTCTAAATATTCATTGTGGTTTAGTTTGCTTAGACATCTAATTTTGAATCCAATGTTCTTTGGTTTAGATTTTTCAGGACAATAATCCCTTTCAAGGACACCTCCAATGCCAAACCAGACAGGCTTGTTATTTAGTAGCAATTTCCATGTCCCTGCAAAATTTGTTTCCCTTTTGGTTTTCTCATTCTTGTTTGAAATTCGTAAGTTTCCCTTTTGTTGCAGTCCAAGAGTCCCCTGAAAAACTAAGAACCAGTTGAGATGGCTGGGCTACTGATTGAAGACCAATCTCTAAGCGCAACTTGTCTAGCGATCGTCTCTCCATCCGCTACCAGAACTCCAGAACGAGCTAATCATTTTGAGCATTGGGCTGACCACGACCGTGTGTCAGTTATAGGTGGATTGAAACACCATATCTAACAAAGCATTAATTCCCCTTGAATGCACATCGGTGCTACTGCTACTTGAGTAGTATATCAGGCTTATAAGCAGGCAGCAGCAGCAATGCCAATAGCATAGACCACACGTTTGTTTGAGCCTTTCTATATATTTGGACATGTTCCAATCAGCTTTTTCCCCCGGTCAATGGGCTTAAAAACCCATCAACCATTTTATGAACCTTTATATATGTCGCTACTTGCTATGTTGGATTGAACCCTTTTTGGATCAACCAAGGGCCTTTCAGCCCAACTACACACGATCCGATTAGGCGTTATTAATCCGACGGTAACAAAATCTCGAACGACCATAGACCTCCATCGAAGTCAACATTCACATTCCCCGCTTCAGAAACCTCATCTCCCCTACCACAAGGAAAGCTCAGGGACGAACTGCAAAAGCCCCATACGAACAACTCCCAAAAATGTTATCGTCTCTAAGACTACCAGCGCTAACCTCCCTCTTCTCTCCCTCCTTCGCCCGCCGCTCCCAGTTGTCTCTGCGGCAGCCCCTCTATCTCCGTCCGCCTCTAGCCGCGGGGTTCTCCTCCCAGAGCGCGGCTTCGAGCCCACCGGAAACAGAAGACCGGGTGGACATCAAAAAGAGCAGCCAATTCCAAGACCGAGCGAACACTGACCGAGTCATCACGCCTCGGTCTCAGGACTTCAATGCTTGGTACCTTGATGTTATTGCCAATGCTGAACTTGCTGATTACGGTCCGGTTCGTGGTACCATGGTTATTCGCCCTTACGGTTACGCTATTTGGGAGGCAATTCAGGTGGCTTCATTTTCTTCTAATTTCTACTACTTACTATTACACTTCCATCGCTCTTTTTTTAAAATATATTTTTGGTCGATTTTGAAAAACTTGCAGGATTATTTGAATGTTAAATTCAAGGAAACTGGGCACAGTAACATGTACTTTCCTCAGGTGTGGGGTTTTTTTTTTTTTTGATAACTTTTAGCTATCCTTTTGTTCATTGCTTTGATTACTTTATGTTAATGGTTTTGAAAATTTATTTTGTGACTGCAGTTTATTCCATACTCATTTATAGAGAAAGAAGCTAGCCATGTTGAGGGATTTAGTCCAGAATTAGCTCTTGTTACAATTGGAGGAGGAAAGGAACTCGAAGAGAAACTTGTGGTACACATATGGTGTTACTTAGCTTAACTCTATTTGTTTATAAGATTACTGAGTCGTACAAGTGCATTACAAATGAATGATTTTTTAATGAAAAATGCTCGTTCAAGACTAACCATGATGGCATGACCTGAGTTTTGTCTTTGATTCTTGTACTTCCTGAGGTTGTGGCAGGTTCGACCTACCAGTGAAACCATAGTAAATCATATGTTTACACAATGGATTCATAGTTATCGGGATCTTCCTCTCATGATTAATCAGGTATAAGCTTAGTTACTTACTGCATGGTTATACATTATTTTGGTTTACCTATCACTTTTTTCCCCATGATTTATTATTTTTTATTTGGTTCAGTGGGCAAATGTCACAAGATGGGAGATGCGCACGAAACCATTTGTGAGGACTCTTGAATTTCTGTGGCAGGAAGGTCACACTGCTCATGCCACACCAGAAGAGGCAGAAAAAGAGGTTTATGTCTCTTTGCCTATGGCTTTGTCATGATGATTTTAGCTGGTAATGTTTTTTATTAAAGGATTGGATGCTACTGAACTGCAGGCACTACAGATGATTGATGTCTATACAAAGTTTGCTTATGAGCAAGCTGCAATACCTGTAATTGCAGGTCGAAAATCTAAAGTGGAAACTTTTGCTGGTGCTGATAAAACATACACAATAGAGGCTATGATGGGTGATCGTAAGGCCTTGCAAGCTGGAACCAGCCACAATCTTGGGCAAAACTTCTCCCGTGCTTTTGGGACTCAGGTGATTGATACATTAGGTATTCCTTTTGGATCTCTTTTTCGATCCTAATGTGGATGCACGTGTAAGGAGCAAATAATTTGTCCGCCAATGAAGTAAAATATTGAGGAAATTGCTCGCAAACATAGCATTTCTAATATTACTTTCACATAACTGAAATATGAACTTGCTATCTTTTGTGGTTAAATCTTTAAAGCATGAGTCATTATTGAATGTGGGTACTGTCATGGATTTTTTTTCAAATAAAGACCTTTTGATCAGTCCAATGCACATAGATATATTGGTTTACTCGATTGAACTTTGAAAAAAGTTCCTTCAGTTTTCTGGAAAGACACTTTCATGATGATATAGGCATCTTTTGTTGGTTGTCTGTTATCCTCAGACACAGGTAGCTTTAGTTTCTTTTTTTTTCCCCCTGTTGTAAGCTCAACTGCTCTGGTATCTTCAGTATTCTCTCTGCTCTTGGTCCTAGCATTTTCAGAATGTCAACGCCAAAGACAGGAAAAGTGAGTGATACTTTTTTTTTTTTAAATTATTAGAATCCTTAAACACTATAAGTTTGACATCTTTCTGTGTACTAGTTCAGCTCTCCATTATCCATTTATGGTTGTCCTGCCACAACCAGGCTTGCTGTTTTTTACAGTTTAAAAATTGTTCTTCAATATTTGTTTTTTGATAGGCCTTTCAAATGCTAATATGAATAGTTGATTCTCTTTATTTCACTTCATTGCTTGCTTTTATATTAGTAAACTCCATAAACAATTAAGGTTTTTGACTGACACTTGTGCTTGTATAGTTCACTGATGAAAATGGACAAAGGCAACATGTGTGGCAAACATCTTGGGCTATCAGCACGAGGTTTGTTGGTGGTATTATCATGACCCATGGAGATGATGCTGGCCTGATGCTTCCTCCAAAAATTGCACCTATACAGGCATGTGAAAATGCCCTCTTTTTTTTTTTTTTTAACTTGGAACTTAGCTTAATTGGTTCATGTAGTCACCTTTAAAAGGTGGCATCCAATAGGTCTAGGGTTCAAATAGCAGTACCTGCAACCCATTCCCTTATCCCTGAACTGCAACCTCTTTTGTACCCTAACAAAAAAAGTCTTTTGTTGATAAATTGTAATAGATGGCATGACTATTGTTGGCATCAGTTGATTGGTCTTTTTCTGATTAGAGGCAATATGCTGCTGGCATAAAATTATTTGGAGGTGGAGTCTGCTATTTGATCATAGCTATCCTTAACTTGGCATTTTCTGTGATTGCTGAAAAAACTTATTGGTTTTGAAGAAATTATGGCAAAATGGAGTTTGGGACCCTTTTTGGAGTGGTCCATTTTGTCAGGTGGAACTTCTGAAGTAGAATGATTTATGCTGGCACCCCCGATTAAACTACTTTGTGGAAATTAGAAGTTGTTTATTTATCTTCAGGCAATACATTGATGCATAATGATGTTTTGAAGTTAAATAAATATCAAGAGAATTAGGAATGTTACTTGTTTTAAAGGTATAAGGGGAGCATATATATACAAATTTTTGCTCATAGAAAAGTAATTGTGGTGTTATCATTATAACTATTTTGAAAACAAATTTTTTGGATTTATACCTGCATATTGGTGCTCATTTAGCTTTGGGTAACAAAACGGAGTAGCCTTTCTCATCCCATAAACACCCAGTTCTCTTGAGAGTAATTTGAGATATCCAAGTTCAAAGTACCAAAGTCCAACCATTGAGATGTCCTCTTAGAGATAATTCTTTTACCTAGAATAATACTCAAAAAAGAAAGGAAAGGGGAAAATAAAAGAAGAAAATATGTAGATAATTGGAGTCCATATCCTAGTATCCAGTTTTTTAATAGCTCAATCATGTTATGTGAAGACAAAGCAGTTTCACAATGTGGGGTTACCAGTGCAATTTAGACTGATGTCTCAATAGGGTATTACTGACTGCTGAGTCTGATGTTTATGAGACTGCTTGATCTTACTTAAGGGAGAAGATACTCGTTAGTATAGAGGCCCCAGTGCCTAGTGATCTTTTCTCCTTATCTTGTATGTTACTAACCTGTAAGCTAATTTGAGATGTGGCTGTTTTGAATGATCTTCGTTTGCATCTGCTAATTGTTACAGTGTTTGTGGTGACTCCAACCATTGACCATTTGTACGACACTTAAAATCATTAGAATATTATTTATCTCTCAAGTTATCATGCACATATAATAAAACTAAAGTTTGGTTTACAGTTTTCTGTTCTATTTATGATGATTGTCTTTTTATGTTGTCCATCATACACTATCAGGTGGTAATTGTACCAATTTGGAAGAAGGTTGATGAAAAAACAGGAGTTCTAAATGCTGCATCATCTGTTGCAGAAATTCTGAGAACAGTTGGACTTAAAGTTAAACTTGATGACACAGATCAGAGGACACCAGGGTGGAAGTTCAATTTCTGGGAGATGAAGGTATGTTCTTTACATTTAAATGTGGATTCTGACATGTGAAAGCTATTCCTCAACTTTAGGTTCTTGCTCAAACTTAAAAGCCGTGATAAGGAAAACCCCTAGAAAATTCATAAAACTTAAAAAATCTGCTTGCATGCAAACCTTATCTATCCCTTCTGTTGTTTTGCATGCTAATATTATTTCATTATGCAACATAGTCTGATCTTATTTTGCTTAGAAAGCAAGTCTCTCTCTCTCTCTCTCTCTCTCTTCTAGAGAGTACTGCTTTGCAAATATATATTTAACTTTTGGCTGCTTGAAGCTTTAGATAATGATTTTGTAGGGAGTACCTCTGAGGATTGAAATTGGTCCCCGTGATGTTTCAAGTGCGAGTGTCGTCATATCTAGAAGAGATGTTCCTGGGAAGCAAGGGAAAGTTTTTGGAATATCTATGGAACCTTCAATATTAGAAGCTTATGTCAAAGACAGGTTGGATGAGATCCAATCATCTCTTCTTGAGAAGGCAATAACTTTTCGTGACAGGTGTGTTTTCTTGCTCAAGCATTTATTAACAGTTTCAAGCCAAGGATAGATTGACCAACCACTGATTTTTTTACCTCTGTTGCTCATCACCTAGTAGCTATTTGGATTGGAATCAAGCTTAGTAATGTACCATTGGTTAGGTATATGATAACTACATCAAGCTAAAGCATCGATGCTGCATTACTGAATTGGTGAACCTGTTCTTTCATTTGTAAATAACAGATCTTAAACTGTATGACTAGCCTCTTGTTTTGCAGAGCTAACAAAAATAGCTGTCTTCATTTCAATGATCACCCTGATGAATAGGGATAACAACCTATATAAGAGCTGGTTTAACATCTTTCATTAGATAATCAATCTGGATTCCTAAAGAAGTAAATTAGTAGAATTGATATCTTGATTGAAAGGTATATTTATGTATCAATCTTTTATCTACTTAATTAATTAAACCAGTGGAATCTCTTTTTAAGTGTTGCCACTGTCTTTACCTGCAAGTTCCTATTATCGACACTTCTAGAAACAATAAAGAATTTAGCATGAGTACGTGGATTTTGAATTTCTGACAGTGGTTCCAAGTACTATTTTTAGATTTTTGTCTTGCCAGTAGTAGATTGTATGGTTTCATGATCATTAAATTGATGGGTTATTGCATCTATTGCTCTTGTGAGCTTTTATTTTGTGGAAAGCTTCGTGGAGTTCTTTGAGAATTTCTCTGTTTCTCTGCACTTTCCTGGGGTTCATTGCTCTTCTTTCTAATGCTTCCTTGACTCTTTTTGCAGTAACATTGTGGATGTGAGCTCTTATAAAGAACTCAAGGAAGTAATATCCTTGGGCAAATGGGCTAGGGGTCCTTGGTCAGCTAGGTAGAGTACTTCTAAGATATTGACGAGAGCTATATCTGAATCATTTCGACTATCCATTCGACAGAATATTTCTGAGACATGCACATTTGTAAGTCTAACCATATGTTTCAATTATTGGTGCAGTGATGCAGAGGAATTAAGAGTTAAAGAAGAAACAGGGGCAACAATTCGCTGTTTCCCCTTTGAACAGCCCCAGGGGACCAAGACATGCTTGATGACAGGCAACCCTGCAAAGGAAGTTGCCATTTTTGCTAAATCTTATTAAGTCTTTGGTACACTTGATTTTCAAGCTTGCTGACTATCCAGTTTTGCGGTTAGATGTCATAAATTTTGTCCAGGTTTCTATGTCCTCTTCCTCACCTGTATAAACATGTATACATTTTACTGAAACAGCATAAGGTTTATGCATTTTCAAAGCTTTGTAGTGTGGTTATGCCCTTGCTGCTCCATTTCGAGATAATTCATAGTTATGGTCTGACATAGCAATATTCTTTTAAATAGGTGATACTGATCTGTATATCTTTACATGGTGCTGTGTTTTTATAACTGGTTCTTCATGAAAATGGCTAATCTGGGCATAGCTTATGCATACTAAAGTAGCCAGATAGATTGAGATCTTTCCTAAGCCACTTACATATGTCACAGACTTAAGTAAGAGTCTTGAATTTCACATCGAACATAATAGGAAGGTCATTGGGATATAAAAGGGTTCACACCACCTCTCTCTTGTGAGGCGCCTTTTGTAGGACAAAATCATGATGCCATGGGGGTTAGAGCGGATAATACCTCACAAGGGTATGAATCATGACAGTTAGGCTGATCTGAGACGTCGAATGAATGGATGTCCGGGTCTCGGAACCGTGCGAGTTCGGAGCTTAAGTCTCGACCCGTAACACACACACCTGCATGTACAAGGCATATGACTTTCCGCTTTTGTTTTGGTTAGTTGGGGGGGTATTTATTATTCTTTGGATTTTGGCCACAGGGTGTTGGAATGGCACTTACGGTTTGTTTGAATGTTTTTTTCTCATCTATTTAAGTTCTACTGTACGTATATAAATGATATGCCAAATTGAGTGGAAAAATCTTTTCTTTCTGCTGAAGTTTGTGGATGAAAATGTATGTAGTCAAAGCCCAATTAATGTCTTCTTGTTCAAATACTTAATGATGGATGGGCATCCTCGGTTTCTTTGGACTTTGAAGAGTAGGAAGAGGTATTGCCACACACGCACACACACATTTCATCGTGCTTTTACCAGATTTTTCTTTGAAAACTTAACTTGCTTCAACTCGTGGCTATTGGATAAATAGGATAGTTTCATTTTTTCTTTCTTTTTTCTAAATTATTGATGGGACTTTTATGTGAATTATGATACATTAAAATATTGGTGTTTATACTTGCAAAAAGATTTTAAAGTTAGGCTCAGAAAAAAAAGGTGGGTTAAAAATCGAAAATTGGGAAAAATATAGGGTCGGAACTCCAAAGAAATAAAACTTAAAGAGCAAGAGGAAGACAACTTCAGAAAGTGTTGCTATCAAGGACCTCTTACTATTCAGCTGGGGCCTACGGTGCTTGAAAGCAAAGAAAGTGGTGGGCCTAATCGCAGACAAACGCATTAGCGGTGGCATCAGGGCGGTTGAATTCAGCACTGGGTGGGCCATGTCTCCCGACGTGGAAGGCTAAGATGCAATTGGACTAATTCACTTATAATTGACAACAGCCGAAGGCGGAATCTTTTGACTTTGGGTTTGGGTGGCATGTTGATGTCGGGCTTCTTTACATGACGTTGAGAGACAGAAAGAGAGAAAGAGAGAGGGGGGCTTCTTTCCGTGGAATAAAAGTCACGCGGTTTCGCGGAGGGAAAAGTGGGAGCCCAGGACTTAGAGATGTTATTTTTATACAAATTCGACGAGAATTTGATTTTTTTTTCTTAATAGAGATAAAATCAGGAATTAAAATTTGAAATAAAAATAAAAATTAATATAATATATTTAATAAATTATTTTTATTTAATAATATAAATTTTATTTTAAATTAATTAAAATTAATATATTTATTTTAAAATATATATTTATAAAAAATTATATATGTACAAAATAAAAATGAATAGATTAAAAAATTTTTATTTTTTAAAAAATATTATGGATACGAATTTTAAATTTATCTATAAGATGAGAATATAAATAAATTTAAAATATTTGTTGAATATGAAAAAAATAAAATAATATAAAAATTAAAAAAATTATCCATTTTATATTATCATTGATATTTTATTTAAAACTTTTACCAAAAATCAAAAAAAATGATATCAGATATTAATTTATGAGAAAATTTGAATATCATGTTTGCTTTGCAAAAAAAACCCCAAAACCTTTTTTTTTCCTTAAATTCATTTTCTCCTTGCTGATAATTGCAAAACAATATTCAGAGTAACGTGCGTCGATTATATGTTCTTTTTGTCTTATAAGTATTGTTTTAATTTTATATTTATGAGTACTTGTTTTAATTTTAATTTATTTATTCTATTTTATATTTTGATTAAAAACTTTATACTACTGAATTTTTAGGCTACATTTATACTCTACTGGTTAGTTAACCTTTACAAACAAACAGATCTAACTGGAGAAAAGAAAAAGTATCGATAGGTAGAAATTTTAATTATATTCCTTTTTGTTTCTAAAAAGTAATTGAAGAATAAATTATGGGGAGCTACCTGTAAATATGGAAGAGTTGAGGGTTCCGAAACAAGAGAGGGGTAGAATGAAAAAAAATTAAAAAAAAAAACGAAAAAGTTTAGTGGTTGCCGTGCCCATGATAAATCCCTAGAAAGTCGTTTACAAAAAGAAAAAAAAAAAAAAAAAAAGATAAATCCTTATAGTCAACAAATTGCGCCCTTGATTGGTCACTATTTGACTATTGACTTTGCTGTTGGGCTTTTTGCTTTGGTTTGCGGTGTAAGGCACTCAGATCGAGGGTTCCAGAATTTTATTATCTATTTGTATTCTTTTTTCTTTGTAAAAATTTTAGTACGAATTCTTTTGCTGGCAAGGGCTCAAATTGTAAGACTCCAACCAGGGCATTTCCGGCAGAACGGGTACAAAGACAAGGACAAAATCGGCACAAAGTCCATCTTAAATACGTGGAGATAGGGCATCTTCCGTGTTGATTCAAACAGCGAAGGAGCTAGTCGTCCCACAACCAGAAGAAGAAGAAGAAGAAGAAGAAGAAGAAGAAGAAGAAGAGTGAAATAGTTGAAAGAGAGAAAGTGCGGATAGGCGTTTTGAAGGTTCGACCATTGGATGGTCATTATTTATGTGAAAAAGCCGACTTCTTTATCTTCGATGACTGAATTAACAACAACAAAAGGAGGGGAGAAATCGGAATCGACGGAGGAGTTTTGACGGGATTTGTTTTGATGCGATCGATTTGTGAGATTTAAACTGGAAAAAGATTTCGACAAATCATCAAATTTGGCGGAGCGATTGTTATTATTATTTTATTTTTTTGACAAAAGAAACAGGTATTGAAAAAAAAAAAAACTTAGATTTTGAATTTCTACGCTTTGTTTGTGGTAGTTTTCCCTTACTTCTAAAAAAATTAAAGCTGTGGAGTCTCCATTGGATTCGGCCTTTGTCAGATCTCAAAGAATCTTAATCAGAGGAAGAGCAGATTTAGGGGTTATTTTTTATCGAGGAATTCATTGAAGAAATTTGTTGAAGAGAAGAGGATTTCTTGTTCCGATTCCTCTAGATCAACCTTAGACCTAGGCGTCATTTAATTGATTATCCTTCTTCGCTGCTGAGGACTTTTGTCCATGAGGCTCTTGGCATCGATAGCCGCAGGAGCTTTTGTGGAAGGAGTTTTTATTGCATACAAATAGGCGTCACCATGGCTCTGGGCCAATTATAGGCTTCAAGAATTAGGCTATTTGTCTGTTTTAGTCTGACTTCATGGAAATCGACCTAGCTGCTTGGCAAATCGAGACTTAGAGACTTTTCTGGGATCTGTCTTGCTGTGGCGATAGACTGATTAGATAGAAATTTTTAGGGTGTTTATTTTTTGTTAGATAGACCGATTGCTTGCCTATGCGTTGTTGACGTGTTTATGTTCTGATGAATTTGGAATTTCATGTTTATATGATTTGGATCTATCGATTTTGGGTTATTTTTCTCTGATTTAAGGAGCCTCATGTGAATTTTTGTGAAACTCAAAACTCCATAGCTGCAGAAAAGAGGTGTAGAACTATTGAAGGGCAGAATAATGTTTGCGCTTTGAAGAGACTAGGAGATCTTTACTGATATTTTGGCAGTGGTCAAATGGTTTGACATGAGGCAGCTAGGCTGCCATGTCTTTATTGGCATAGAGTGAAACAACTATACTTCTATTATTACCAGAAGTAATTTTGTGGAAATAATGCATAGCAAAAAACACAGTTTGTTAAAAACTGTAGCTGTACTTGTTTTGATGATGAAACTTTTACAATATATATTTTGTTTTTTGCGAAGAACCCTGCTTCGAAGCATTTGGAACAAATTTAATCCAATGTTACATTCTCAATTGAGGGAAGTTTTCCTGGACATCAAAACTTGTCAGCATGATCTGCCTCAAGGTAAATGAACTTTGGAGGCATATGCTGATGGTCTCTTATAATCAGCTTTGGGGCTCAATATGCAGATGATAAAAATCTCTTTTATTAAGTGGATTGGATGTTTTAAGCTTGTTTATTTGTACCTTTGTTCATTATTTATTTGTGTATGTATGGCTGATCTTGTTCTTGAATGTTGTTATTTGGCAGGCAGGATAGCCACATAAGGTGTTGAATACTTGAGTTTTATAGCTACCTGGATATAGCTACCTGATCTGTTAAATATCTGACAAGATTGGAGGAACCCAATTAACTGTAAGTTTTTAGGCCTTGTTATTTTATTCCACAAAAAGGCAAATTTTTTGTGCACGAAGGGCTCAAAAGCTACATAACTTCACATAATAATAGCCTCATCAATTCACATATTTATTTTATTCATGTGCTAGTAATGAAAATTTTGCTGATAGAAATTTTTTTTTTTTTTTTGTACATGTTAGCACGTGTATTTCATTTCATTTTTACTGTGAATGCATATTTGATTGGAGCTTTGTTTTAATCATTTGCAGAACGGTGTTTGTGCTTGCACCAGGAGTTTCTCTTCGGCTCTGGTGTCAAGTAGTGAGCAAGAAGCCAAGGGATCCTGCAAGACTTGTCGTGGTAGACCATTAGTTGATATAGGATCTGTTTCTACAGGCATAATGAGCACAGTAGGTCTGGAACTCACAAGTTTTATAAACCCTGACTTGACTTGGAAGACAGTGACAAAGGGGAATAGGAGTGGAACGAGACGTACAAGGAAACCAGGTACTAAAAGCTTGGTGGGAATGGGTCTAGCTGAAAAAAATGGCAGAACAGTGGAGGATGTTACGGTTTCTGAGTCAGAGAAGGTTAAATCATATTCATTAGTGCTTATATAAAATACCCTCATTTGTTCTCACTTGTTTCAACTAATTCTCTGTTTTTCTATTAGCAGCTTGGTGTAGATGTTCTGGGAAGACGCTTTAGCGAAAAAGTAGAGCATGTTCCAATAAAGAAAAGGAGATTTGTTTTCCGATCTCCATCACCACCACCCCCACCGACCCCTTCTCAGCACCTTGAAGTCTCTGGACAACATGTAGATTTTCAACCTGCTCCGGGTCAAAGTACTGGTTCAAATTCAGCTCAGAGGCAACGGCTCATGAAATCTGATTGTTTTACCAAGTCAACTGTTCATAGTATTAATGATGAGAAGTTTTCAGAGGTAAAAAATGATGTTGAGGATTTCTCAGGGATTGAAATACTTGCAGCTGCTGCTTGCATTGATGGAATCGGTGATGATGTTACTGAAAAAAATGAGGAAAATCCCTTAGTAGAAGAATCAACAAAAGAGAGAGTTGAGTCTTCGGCTTCTGCAATGCCTTTGGAAGAAACTATTACATCATTGGAGACAGCTTGTTGCTCCCCAAAATATTCAGTAAGTGAAGGTAAAACTGATGGTTCATCTTTCCAGGTTGATTCCTTTGCTGTTTTGAATGAATCTCATGGTGATAAGGATAATACAACAACAGAAAGGTCCATCCCCTTGCCAGATGATAGGTTACTCTGGGATTTAAATCTTTCAATGGATGCTTGGCCCTGTGATGGTGGAAATGTTGATTCTCAAAAGGATGCTGTGGATAATATTTCTGTGACAGGTGAAGTGCTGCAGACTAAGCCTTCTGATGGTGGGAATGTTGATTCTCAAAAGGATGCTGTGTATAATATTTCTGTGACAAGTGAAGAGCTGCAGACTATTTATGTGACAAGTGAAGAGCTGCAGACTAAGGAACCTCAAGATAGCAAAAATGATACTATGAACAAAGTAGTTTCACCTGATGTTGATGCGGTTAACAAGATGACTTCAGGCTTGAAAAACATATCTGTTGGGACTGATGATTTGAGTAGAGAGAAACAGGTATCTGAAGGATGCTCTAGCTCCGGCGAGAACAAAACTGAACATGTTCCAGTGCTAGTGGTTGATGCTGAGAATTCCTTGATGTCCACTGCTCTTAACACAAATGCTTCCATTGAGGCAGTAAACATGGATCAATGCCTTAGTCATCCTCCTTTTCCTGGATCAGAGAAGAGTACTTGGGTGTCTGAGGAAGATCGAGAAACATCATTGTCAACTCATGATATTAAGCTGAGCACAGTAGGGTGTATTTCTGAGGCAGAGGCGGGCAAAACTGTTTGTGTAGAAAGTCTTAAGGTGGAAGAGTCTGATGATGCTTCTCCCTGTGTACCAGTTTTAGGCACAGTTGCTAATGACATTCAGAACACCAGTGCTAGCAAAAATGAGAAGGATTGTGATAGAGATTCTGAGTTGGATGATGTCAAAATTTTTTCTCAGGACCTGGACAATCCTCAACCTCGAGAATCCTGTGATGTTGAGCATGGAAATGGGGCAGAGGAGATGGACATTTGCCATTTTTCACCAAAGTCTGAAGATATGTCCATATCAGATGATTATGTAATGGAGGCTACGGAACGAACTGATGGTGCTTCATCAGCTTATATTGCTCAAGTTGATTCTGTTGTTCATGTAGGGTCTGAGTTACTGTCAGAAAAGTCTTCCAGAAATGCCATAGCTACATCAGGAGCTGGCGAGCTTTTCACTCATGAGGCATGTAGAATCAATTTTAATGGTCCTACAATCTACTTGGATAAGGCCAACCTGAATGATCCTCCTAAAGAAAGCCACGACTTAGCTGCTTCTGAAGATAAGGCATTGAATGTTGGCATGGGAAACCACTCAGAACTTCAGGCTGGTTATGATTCACAATTCGAGGATGGGGAATTCAGGGAATCAGATGTTCAATGTTGGGAGGAAGCTGAACAGGTGGACTATGACACTGAATTTGAGGAAGAAAGATCGTTTGGCTTGGAAGCTGATAGTGGTGATCAGAAATTAAAGATAGAAATAGGATCAAGTCCGGATGTATCTGGAAATTTTAAATCTTGCGAAACTAGAGAGGTTTTGAGGGAAAATTCAGTGAGCTTAAAGGTGAGAACTGTGGAAATGCCTGATGCTGAAACAAAGAAAAATGATTGCTTGGATGGGTCTAATGTCGAAGATTACAATCGTAGAGTAGATTTATCTAAGGTATCTAAAAGGGAATTGCATTCACGTGTTGAAGGATCGTTATCATCTGATCCTATTCAGAGAAGCAGGTGAACTTTTTGGGACCATTGTCTCTTTAATTTTATCTACGTTTCTATCTTTGATTGATTTCTGATTATTCGAATATTACAGGTCCGACAATTTTGATGGTTCATATCCTCAAGCTGAAAGGGAGGCTGGCTCTGACAAATTCATGGGGAGGGATAGATCTGCTTCACATTTGCGTGGCAGAAGCCCAGGGGGTGGTTACTTTTTCAATCCTTCAGCTAATTATTGGGATTCTAAACGGCAGCATGCGCCTATTTATCATGGCTCTTATAATTTTGGGCGCCCGAGACCAAAAAGTGTAGTTGAGAGCCGTGGATATTCTGTGGCCACAGACCAAGCACCTTTGGAAGCTGCTGGTGTTGCAAGACCTGACAACCGCATTAACAGGCAATTTATGGGCCCCTCCAATGGTGCATACAGAACTCTCCTTAGAAGGAGATCACCAGCTGAAAGAGATGATTCTTTTGATGTGCGTACAAGAATGCCAACCATAAGAGATAACAGTCCTGATCGGACGAGGCTTAGAAGATATCCACAAGGGGTTAATAGGGGCATCAGAGTTGAATCTCTCAGGCATATTCCTGATGATGGCACAGGATATTTTAGTCGCATGCCACATTGTTTAGGCAGGAGAGAAAGAAGCATTTCCCCTCATGGTGGAAGACCGCATTATACTTACAAGAGAACTCGGTCAAGATCAAGGAGCCGCTCGCCCATTGGTTTGTTATTACAGAGGGATCGAAATGAGGGTTCAAGACGTCGTAGCAGGTCACCAGATTTTAGGTCTGATGCTAGGATAGATAGGGTGAGGTTGCCATTTACAAAGCGCTTTACTGTGGATTATGGAGAGGATTTCATATCCCCATCTAGAAGTCGCATCTCACCGCAGCGAAGTTCCAGGATGCTTGAGGATCGAAATTCTGGTTTAGACTATTTTAGGGGGCGGAAATCATCTGTGAGGATGTTTCGGCAGGGCCAAAGATTTGATCAAGTGCACCCCATTCGAAAATTAAGTTCAGATGATTATACGAGACCCATGATTCGACCCAGAAGATTTCCAGATATGACTGTTGGTGGTAAAGGTTGTAAATATGAAGGCAGTGATGATGATAAAAATGGCAGCAGATATGAGATGATTCATCGAGTGAGGCGATATGATACAGATGGTGCAGTTCGTCGCATTCGGTATAATGCAGAAGATTCATATGTGGCTAATAACTCTTTAACCATGACTAGTGCAGTTTGGGGTCTCATATAGGAGGCCTGATGATGCACCCAGGACAGATAGTGAAGATAGGACTTTTAAGATGCAACCCCGAGAGGATTTGGTTGGAAAGGGAGATGCGTAGCTTTGAACAGGTATATGTCTTTCTCCTTACCTAGTCTTGGGCTGTGTTTTGTGGTTGGTGGGAGATCCTTTTTTCAGCTTTTTTATCATTTCCATTTATTGGGCAGGATCCTTCTAAATTCTGCCTGATTTTTTGGTTGGTAGCCTCCCTTGGCAAAGAAATCTTTTTTCTCCTCTTAGGTTTGGTGTTCATTTTTTTTCCTCCTTATTTTCTACAGTTCCCTCTTTACTATGGTCGCTCTCCTCATGCCTAGAAGGTTGTCGCTGCCTCTATGTATGAGGCAATTAAGGTATAACGGTTGAGTAGAAATTAATTAAGGGTTTTTTTTTTTTTCAATGCATCAATTTAATTTGGCTTTTTCTCATTAGTATTATCGTTTCATCTTCTCTGCGTCATGGCTATAAAAGATAAGTAATGGTTTAAGAGCTCATTTATGTTGCCCAATGCTAATTGGTGAAGTTGAAAGAATAATTTCAACAGGATGATCTTAACAAGCGGGCATTTAAAATACAATAAAAGTGTGCAGTTATCTCACTACTATATTTACATATTCACCTACAAATAAATTCTCACTTATAAACCTCATCTCATCGATATCTACTCGGCTATTGCTTTATTGACTCCGGAAATTAATAAGCAAATAACTTTGGTTGTAAAATTTGCATGGCTCCTTCACTCTTATGTATCCTTATCAGAAGGTGATCATGCCGCTGCAGAAACATTTCACATAGAGAACAAATGGCTCTAGCCATTAAATCCAAATCACTTGAAGAATTGAAATTCTTTGTTTATGTTTTTTGGGTCGTTTTCAATTTAACAGGGTTCTTTCTAGGGCTTTAAAAACTGGCAATAAGAAACTCTAGTGGAGAGTTAATATGCGAAATGTTAAAATTCAAATGTTATTGGCTGAAAACATACGTTCACAATGGACCTAAATCCTCTTAATATTACAGATATAGATAGAGAAGAGTGATTTACCCCGTGGGATTGCATTTGTGGTAAATTGCTTAACTTTTTCCCTTTTTCTTAAAGGCTCGATGCAAAAAGCACATAAAAAAAAATGTAAAGGGACGATTCCTCTACTTGCTCACCGGGTGCGACTCAAAATGCAGTTTATCTGCCAAACCAGATGAACATATTGCGGTAACTTCTTGCCGCATTTCCTGCGGCCCACTTTCAATAACGGCAACTCTGGTTCCTTTGCTGCCACGATAAAAGAAAATTTGTTACGTATATATATTGGATGTCATAACGCAAATTCGTTCATTATTGGTCGGGAAATGATTCGACAAATTCCATGGTTCTTTCTTTAACCAACAAGTTTCCTTGTCAGATTATAGAAAGATCCCTGACGAAGAATAACTTACTTTTCAAGTCTGGTCTTTCACCCCTAATGGACCTTGGTGGCTTGGAGTAGAGACTGGTGCAGGACGCTTTCTAGTTATCTGTCAGCATTTTTAGACCATGCCGGCTACATCGTTGGCGGAGTATCCATGTTTTGAATCTGTCTCATCCCTTGCCGTTTTATTTCTTGTTCCAGAGAAAAGCAGCAGTTGCTGTCATGGCTATGGCGATGCATATGAACGACATGTTTAGAGCTGCTCTTGCAGAACGGGCGTATATCTTATCGGAATTATGGTTAATTGGGTGCACATAGTACCAGTTAGAATGCTAATGAGGAGAAGGAAGATGACAAAAGAAGATGAAATTATCACTGAAAGCCAGATCCAGCTATTTGGGCCTAAAGTTGCAGAAACAATCTTCTCATTCTTTCAGCTCATTCAGTTGATAGTAATGTAACAAATGGCTCTTTATCTGGTTTTTCCCCCTTCGATTCTTATTAATTTAACTGACTTACACTAGTATTCTAGTATGAAGTTAGAACAGTTTGTGACTGAACTGATTTCAAGTTTACAGAGTATAGATAACAGAGCCAAATTCTGGAATACGGGAATTGAAGGTTTTACATGTATTTCAGAACCGTTGCTCCAAAGCCAATGCCAAGAAATGTGGCAATGGCAATGCCAAAAATGCCTGCAAGAATACCAGGAACAACCATAGAACTCCAACCTTTGGCCGTGGCCATTCCACATGCTGTTGTAGGACCTCCAACGTTAGCATTTGATGCTATAAGCAACAGCTTTAGATCAAATCGGAATAGCTTCCCTAGTCCCAGGATTAAAGCCAGATGGATGGCAATCTGAACCAGAGCAAACATGAATATACTGGGTGCTGTGTTGATGACATTCCATATGTTTCCACTTGCACCCACCACAGTGAAAAATACCTGCTCAAAAAATATATATATTATATATCATTGCCAAAATTGTAGATACACCCACAATAGATCCAAATTTAGCACATAGGATGATAATTATGATGGCAGTTAAAATTTTGACAGGCTATATGCAAAGTAAATCCCTTATACAAAAATAGTCAGAAAAAAGGGCTTGAGGCTGGTGGCGGCTTCCAATAATGATTAGTTACCTGCATTAGAATGAGAGCCATAGCCTCCCCAGCTGGTGCAAGACGGCCAAACTGGGTAGGAAATACAGTTGCCAGAATAACAACAATTGCTGTAACTGCAGGCAGGCTACCTCCCTGAATGCCATAATATTTCGTGAGATAAGCTCCAAGTTTGCAGATGGTAAAGGATACTGCAAGAGCTGTAGCTATCTCAAGGACAGGAATTTTGCCACCAGATTGAGACCCATCACCCGTTGCAACATCTGCTTAAGTCTCAACAACTTTAATTAGATTATACAATTTTTGAAACATAACCACATAATTCTATAGCATTCACATTTGAACAGAGGGTGAGGAAAAAATAATTTGAGAAAATTCAAAATATAAAATGTAGAAACGAAACTTCATGAAATAGACCATTTATCTGGACAAGCAGTACACTTACAACGAAGACAAGGAAATCAATCTCTCAAATGACACAAAGTGAGGAGCTTTGCACACCTGCAGGTGACGTTGACGTCTCAGGGGGTACTTTTGATGCCAACGCAAACAGTGTTGTAAAATATACTGCACAGATAACATTGTCTGCAGCTAGTCCAGCTGCTAAAACAGATGGAGAAACTCCAAGGGCGTTTGAAATGGCAACATAATTGACGGCTGAACAACATAAAAACAACATAAAAAATAACTTCATCAGTGCTGACAAAGAAGTGTATAGAAACAATGGAATCAGATCATGAATATCTATTATGATACTAGAAAGCTAGAATACATTACCTCCGCCAATATGCCTACCCATAAGGGCAGCGGCAATCTTCCAACTATCTTGGCCAAGTGCTCTCATCGGCACTACCAGATATGCCAATGCTGTACCAACTGTTGTCGCCACTGTCATGCAAAATTTGGAAACCAAATAATTAAAAAAAAATAAAAAATACTTCCTAGCAAAGAATGCGAGAAACCAAAAGCAAAAGCTCACATTAAAGTCATAAATGTTTTGGACTATCCTAACCCAAAATAATGACACTAAAACAAGTAAAATTCACCTAAAAAAAACAAGACTAATTACACAGGTGATCAATTGAACTGGGTCATCAAGACTCTGTTGAGAAGTGGAATTACCTGATCCCAGCAAGAAAGCTAGGAGAAGTTTCCCTGTTGACTTAATCACACATCGCAAATCTGCTCTAAACAACAACAAGGGAACGGCCAATGGGAGCAAAAACTCCAGCACTATTGAGTAGGCTTTAGCTTCACAAGAAATTATCCCCAAATTACTAGCAGCAAGTCCAATCAAAGTACTCACCAGCGCACCACTCAATGCACTCCCAACCTTTGTGTTCTCTGACCTTTAAGTTCAATTTAGTAGACAATCATAAATACTATCCACAAATTATTATGAAGAAAAAACCATTGCTTCTGAAATTAAAAACTTCTAGAAAACCGGGGAAGAGTGATATTACCAGATACCGAAGGCACCGGTGGCGAAGAGAGCAGTCCAGGTGCCCCATTGGTCGTTGGGAGAAATGAGAGGGAAGTTCAATTGAGATTTGACCGTTACGAGTCGCTTAGCGTTAGGGTTTTGGTGCAACCAATGAGGAGAAAGAAAAGTTTGGCTTCTGTAAAGAGATGGCCAGCTGGTTGACGATGATAAAGACGAGTCTTGGGCAAATGAATTGCTTAAGCTTGGGGCAAAATGGAGATTTTGGCTGCAACGGTAATTTGGGTGTTGGAGCTCCGGAACTTGAGCCGGGGAGCGAGTTATGTGTAGAAACGGAAGTTTCGATGCCATTTTCGTTGAGTCTCCGGCGTCAGAGCGTCGACAGCAATTGGGTGGGGGTGAAAGAGTTGGTTGCTTGTTTGGAAGTTGGACGTGGAGTGCTTCTATTTTCAGTTGCGGAATACTCGTCAACCATTGTTTTTTTTCGTGGTTTTTTATGGAATATGCATCCATAATTTGTATTTATATGTTATACATAAATATTTTTTATTTTTATTAAATATATTTTAAAATTTTAAATTGAATTATATTTAAATGTTTTTTCATATATTTTTATGACATTTAAAATAGTCAAATTTAGGATAAAAGTGTAATTGAGTAAAATAACACATCTGGATAGTTATTTTAGGGTTCGAAACTCTTAACCCAGCATTAAGATCCAACTAATTTAAAGTTTAAATCACATGGGACACAGAAGAGAACCTGATTTTGGCATAGGACAATCTTTGAATGTTTTCCATGTATTTTAGGATTGCCAATAAAAGTAGCATTAGCAATGCCCAAAATGCCTGCAAGAATACTGGGAACTCCACCCTTTGGCCGTGGCCATTCCGCATGCTGGTGTCGGGCCTCCAACGTTTGCATTTGATGCTATAAGCAACAGCTTCAGATCAAAGCGAAATAGCTTCCCTAATCCCAGGATCACAGCCAGATGTATGGCAATCTGGATCAAAGAAAACATGAGTATAATGGGTGCTGTGTTGATGACACTTCATACATTTCCACTTACACCCACCACTGTAAAAAATACATGTTTACCGACCACAAGTTGCAGAAAAAATGTCATTTGCAAACAGATCTGAAACAGCAAATAGGATGATGATTATGCTACAATAGCTTAAAGTTACACAACAAATCCCTTTTTTCAAAAGTAGTTGGTAAAAAATTGGACTTGGAGCCAAGCAACATCTAATAAAGTTGACTCACCTGCATCAGAATTAAAGCCACAACCTCCCCAGCTGGTGCAAGATGACCAAATGGGGTTGGAAACAGAGTTGCCAGAATTACACTGCTGTAATTGCTGGCAGGCTACCTCCCTGAATGCCAAAAATAATTTGCGAGAAAAGCCCCAATTTTGCAAATGGTGAAGGATACTGCAAGAGCTGTTGCTATCTTTAGAACAGGGAGTTTACCACCGGATTCAGATCCCTCAGCCGTCACAACATCTGCCAAAATTCCAGCTTTTAATTAGAATGATATTGAAACAGAACCACATGATCTAAAGCATTCATATCTGATGGGTCAACTTAAAGACAGTGTTAAGCAGCAGAAATCCAAATATTTAGCCTTTGCAGATTGATGCAAACAAGAAAATATACCGCACAATGATGTAAAATATTCTATCAAATGTAGCTAAACAGGGAGCTTTGCATACCATCGGTTGACGCCGAAGTCTCTAGGGGTACTTTTGATGCCAATGCAAACGATGATGTAAAATATACCGCACAGATAGCGTTGTCTGCAGCTAGTCCAGCTGCCAAAATTGATGGAGAAACTCCAAGAGCATTTGAAATGGCAACATCATTGACGGCTAAATCACATCAAAAACTAAAACTTAATTCCTTAGTTTTAGTGGAGAACTTCGTTGAAACAATGAAACCAGTAGAATAATCAGATCACAAATGTCTATTAGGATTATTCTAGGAAGTGGAAAAGCAAATTACCTCCGCCAATATGCCTATCCATGAGGGCAGCCGCTATCTTCCAACTATCTTGTCCAAGTGCTCGCATTGGCACAATGAGATATGCCAATGTTGTTCTAACTGTTGTTGCAACTGTCTTGCAACTATAGGGAAAACAAATGTCATGAACACTGCCTAGCAAAGAAGAATGCAGAAAAAACAACGCAAAGCAAAGCAGAAGCTCAAGACAGTAAATATGTATCAATCTGACTCTTCTGATGCTAATTTATGTTACTCAAAATTTACATGCTGATAACCCGAATTACAGCAATGGTAGATTAAAATAGTAATGATTCTGTCACTCTGGTGTCAATGGAATTACCTGATCCCAGCAAGAAACGTAGGAGAAGTTTCCCTGTTGACTTAATTACGCGACGCAAATCTGCTCTGAACAACAACAGTGGAACAGCCAATGGGAGCAAAAATTCCAACACGACTGAATACGCTTTAGGATCGCATGAAATAAGATCCAAATTACTCGCACCAAGTCCGATCAATGCGCCAACTATTGCACCGCTCAACGCACTTCCAACCTTCGTCTTCTCTGACCATCAAGTTTAGTTTAGTGGACAATAAGAGAACTCATTGCTTCCACAATTATAAAAGAGAATGCAACTAGCTATGAGTTGAGAACAACAAATTCTCTTTCCATTTGACTTACCCTCTAAACTAATTAGACTCAAATTAAAGTCAAACAAGATTTTATGAAAAGGTAAACATATAAACAAAAATTTTATCAAATTCAAAGCAGCAAATTCAAATAAGAAGTTTGGGTTGAACATTCAAAAGATAGAGATTCCAGTGCCAGATACCAAAGGCAGAGATGGAGAAGTCCACTTGGCCCAATGATCGTCAGCTGAAATGAGAGGGAAATTCAGTTGAGATCTGACAGTTCCGGATTTGGTAGCATTGGGCCTCTGGCGGTGTAAGACGAGAGACAAGTTGGGCGTATGTTAAGAAGTTAGCCAACTTGATGATGATAAAGATAAGCAACTGCTTCTTCGTGGGACTTAATGGTTATTTTGGCGGGAACAAACATTTGAGTGTTGGAGCTCTGGGGGTAGAGGTTGAGTGCGGCTTATGCATAGAAATGGAAGCTTTTACGCTATTAACAGTGGAGGAGAACTTGGCAGTGGAATAGACGTTGCAAAAGCTAGTGAAGCAGTCACCTTTCTTGACTTAGCATTCTTTCAGTTCTCAGATCTACTGCCTTTTTTTGAAAGAGAAAGGCATTATTCTAAAATAAAATGGAAGACTACATCATGAATGTCCAAAAAATAATTCCCTGAAACCTTAGACTGGAGGAAATCGAGGAAAGTCAAATTTTTTAAAACCTAGTTAACAACTCTGTTTCATGTAACAGAACCAAAGCTCAGTTGCAATTGAACCGAGCAGGTCAGGCCAATTAAGATTCGATCAATTTGAGTCGGTCCCTGTTCATGTTCCATCCGGTTCGCGTTGGCTTTGAGGCGGTTACCGTTCACATTTTACGTTACGATCAGGGGAGGAATCACGTACGGTTCTTATTTTTATATATCTTGGGGAATCTTTCAAGAACTTGCCTTTTGGGTTTTTTATTTCAAGTGGAGGAGCGATTTTTAAGAGAATGAAACATGTTCCCTAACACATTGGGTAGTAACTAGTCAGAAATCAGTAAAGATGTTCACTGGTCGAGTTTAGGGTAGATTCAGACCGGATCTAATGTGGACTCCAACTTTGAAGAGCAAGCTCTAGCCCACTGGGAAATCCAAAAATGACCTTATCAGTACCAGTAACATCTGCTGGATGGATGGTCAACTCCATCATTACAAGAAATGCTGTCAGCCTGCATTCTGCTTTTTTGAGCTACCTCTCTCTTCATCCAAGGCCTTCAATTTGTTCTTAATCACAGCAATTTTGGCACTGCGGCTCATCTGCCGTGAGGTGCTACCAGCAGTGCCACTTTTAATTGTATCACCTCCAGCTTTGGAAGAATTATGTGCCACTTCCTCCCAGTATTTCTCGCTAGCTAGACGAACCACCAATGGGCGACCACAAGCTAATCTCCCGTGCATCTTCTCCTTGGCCAATTTAGCTTCCTGCATACTCACTTTAAATGTGGAAATCAGGAATTGCCTGAAAACAAAGAAAGAGAATAAGCAGACAACTTACCTCTTTTGTGTTGTACTGGATAAAGGCAAACCCTCGTGGTTCACCACGTTTTGGGCCACGCATGTGCCATAAAAAATCCTCAGATATAATCTTCCCATATGGAGAAAACATCTTAATAAGAGCAGCTCTGGAAAAGAACAGCATTATATTAGTTTCCACAGACTCTGTGCAATAAAAGCTTCAGACTCGAACAATTATACTCACTCAGTTATTCTTAGATCAAGGTTACCAACGTATAGTCTGTTTCCACTCTTCTCATCTGTGAAGCTCCTAGGATCCTGCAGTCAGCCATTTCATCCAGTTCAAAATCATGAATATGTCCAGACAATGCACCAATCTTAATAGAAAATAATCCAAATTCTGAACTTCTTCAAACATAAAGTGCCACCAACAAGTTCAAAACATCTTGAATCAAGAGAAGACAAACACATTTTTGGCACAAAAGCAAAACCATCTAGCAATCACAACATGAGACTTAAAATTTTATATATTGCAATATTATAGAGAAAATGGATGAAAAGAAATCAGAGATTAAGCTATAAGATGAAAATCCCTTTGGGAAATGCAGAAAGCATTTTTTTTCCAGATACTCAAGAACAATCAGAACATGGCAATCATGACATGGGAGCAGGAGCTACCTGGTGGAACACAAGGTCCCTTGAGATTTAAGTAGTGTTTCTCTCATTATAACAGAAATCAATTTTCATTTCCAAAACAGCCAAATCCAAGCCAAGGAATCTGCAAAAGTAAGATATGAATCAGCAAAACAGCAGCAAACTATTTAGTAGTAGGGACTAAAGTCCAACATTCTATAGTTCAAAAGGAGGAAGGAATAGATCATACCAGAGAGAATTTTGAAATGCATTTCAACTTCAATATCTTAAATAGAGTTGATTTTAAAAACTTCATATGTAAATCAAAGTTTTGGATAGTGAATTTACCATAAAATGCAAAGGGAATTAGATGACAATTAGCGTTGCAGGCACAAGCATGAAGCACTTTCAGAAATTCAAAGCATCCGAGTCTGCATCCACCTGCAAATTCTAAAAGAACAAAACATCAGATAAACATGAACCATTCTTTATGATTCCCTTTGCATTAGATTAAAAGAAAACACCAAAAATATCATACTAGACATAATTTCATATTATGTAAAAACACAGATAGAAACCTGCATGACAAATTGCAATGAATATAAACACATTTAGTTAGAAATAGCTGTCAGAAGGCCCAAGCCCCTGCCCTTGGCAACGTTACCAATGAGTACTGATGTATGCAAATTAACCAGTTGGTCCTAAAAAACAAGAGCTTCAAGATTATGGTAACAGGCAACCCACCCCCCAAACTAAAAAAAGCCAACACCCAGTTGTATCCTCTACCTCTAAACGTCGGAGAAAATAAAGCTAATTTAATAAATCATCAAAAAAATTCAGAAGAAACTTGATTCCAGTAGCAACTAAACAATTAAAAAAAGAGGAAACAAAGCCATCAGGTAGGCTTAAGAAAAATTCTAAGATAAAACAGAACGATGTATTCCAGAAAGAAGTTTTGTTTGGTAGTAAATGTGATATTTTTGGAAGCACAAAACAATTTTTTCTGCTTTTGTCAAAAGCCTATCAATCTGGTTCCAAAACTTTCCTCCATCCATAGTTGCAGATAGAATGATTTCAAAGAAAAGTTGAAAGTTGACAGAAAAACTACGGTCCTAACTAAACCCTTAAACAGACGAAACAGATTTCGTCCTTTTTTTAGTCGGACAGAAAATTTTCTAATTAAAAGAAATTTCCTAATATACTCAACATAATTTAGAAACCCTAATTTTTCTTCGTCTTCTTCAACAAAACAGAAATTTCATTATCTATATAAGATTAAAATGACTTCCAATTCCATTATCTACGTACAGTGCAAAGAATAACACTCATAAATTTCCAGGAAAGAAACTGTATAACGATTAAAGTAATCAAAATTTCTAACCAGTATATATAAAAAAAAAATCTAGCTGCTTTCACTTTGGACGGTGTCAAAACAGAGCATTTCATCGTTGAAAAAGGAAAAATAAAAAGTGGATTATTATTCGAATAACTTACAGGATGAAACTTCGCATTGAGATTTAAGAAAGTGCTCTCGGATACCGAGTGTAAAGAGTTGCAACTTCTCCAATTCGAACAACCCCAGATTCGAGACCACGAGCAATCAAGCGTCGCACTGACAAGGTAAAGGGTGTGAAAATTCAAAAAGAGCCACCCATGTTAAAGCGACGCCGTTGTAAATATAGCCCTATTATTCATGTACGTTAATCTTCTGTATCTAATAGAAAATCTGACTTTTTATCCAAATAATACTCAATAAGTGATCCAACCTGTTATCCAAACCAGGATGAATATTATATTATAAATATAAGAATTGAGATATATACAATTTTAAATTTTTAATAAATATAAAGATTGAGATGAATAATATAATATTTATCATATATTATATATATTATATTTATATATATTTAGTAATTAAATTTTTTATTAAATAATATAAATTATTATTTTAAAATAATTAAAATTAAAAAAATTTTATTAAAAAATATATTTATAAAAATTCACCAAAATATATAAAATAAAATTTAAAAAAAAGCTAAAAAAATAAATTTAAAATTTTATGTGTTTTAAAATTATAAGTATAGTGAGTATCTATATCCATAAAATATTTACAAAAAAAAAGATAAGAATAAATTTAAAATATTATTGAATATAAATACAAAAATAAATATAATATAAAATTTTAAAAATAAAAATAAAATACTTTATTCCCTTTATACTTTACTCATTAACATCCTTAATATTATTAAATCAAATGGGTCATCCAACACTAATATTTCGCGATAATAACTAATGGGTTTACAAAGGATTTTATTTCAGTTTTAGAATTAAAATTTGATATTTATTAATCATTTTAACTACTTCAAGTAATAAAATATGATTAAAATTTGAGTATAATCTTTTAACTTTGAAAATTTTCATATAATATAAAAATTTTGAAATGAACCCATATGAGCTACAAGTTTAATGCATTTGAAATTTTTACTCGATTTTATAAGAAATAACATAATGCATGAAATTAATATTATAAAGTAAATTTTTGAAAAGTTTAATTGATATCAACAATAATATTATTAATATAAATAAAAAATAAAAAATATTTAATTAATTTTAATTACTAATATTAATATAAATTATATTATAATAGATTGATATTGGCATCATATTTAATTAATGTTAATTACTATTATATAAAACAGACTATATTGCAATATAGTAATATTAGATTATATTTAAAAATGTTCAAAAATTAAAATCATAATAAAATAATTTATCCCGGGAGCAACTTTTCGGGTAATTATTATTGTATTCATTTTAAGCGAATCAAATCTAAAGAATAGTCTCACTTTGTGCAAATTAAGCTAAGAAACAAGCATTGACTTTGACCAAAATGAGATTTTTCAAGTAAGTGAATATAATTTGGAGTTGACAACTGAAAGCATCTGATCAGCAACGTATCGTTGGTTTTGAAAATGGTATAGGTTGACCATTTGTGTCATCACATTAATATTTGATTGTTTCAAAATAAAAAATTATTTTTATAATTCTTAAAATTGTCAGTATGTGTTTCAAATAAAGTTTTCCCATGGGAAATGTATGTTAAAAAGTGTTAAATAATTATTAAAAGGAGTTAAATAAACTAACCCATTTAAGTAATGAGATTTGTAACAATATTTTTTATACAATGTAAACAAATTTTATAAAATTTATATCTAACTCTTATTTGATATCAAATTATTATTTTTATATTTTTAATAATTTTAATTTAGTATAATATTTATAAAATATTTTTAATAAAAAATATATTTTAATTATATATAAATATATATTTATATTAAGTTAATATTTTAAATTAAAATATTAAAATAATAATTTTATTAATATAATACATATAATAAATTAAAATAATAATAAAAGGTACTATATTGAGTTGGAATGAATTTACTTAAAACTCAATATGACAAAAAATTTGACTTGATTCGAAATTTAATTAAAAAAAAAACCTATTAAAAGATCATATCAAAATTCGACGAATTTGAATAAATTTATATTTTAGGGTTAAATGAGTTAATCCACATTAATAGGAAAGATTCTTTAACATGAATTGAGATTAAGAAAACAATTAAGAACCCGTTTGATTGCTAAGTGTTAAGACCAATGGTATTGATATTATATCGGTAGTGATAATATTAGCCAATACGTAATAATTTTGGAAAAAAAAATTTATACATTTAAGAATTAAGATTATTGTACCCAACTGTTTTGAACCATATTGATTGTAAGATTGTGCTTTTTAAAATTTTTTTACTTGAATCGTTTAATTAATTTCTAATGCTTTCTCTCTCGTGATTATTTTGTATTTTTTTATAATTTGATTAAAAAATAAAATATATTCGTTAAATTAGGTTATTAAATCTATTTGATAATAACTTATTTTATTTTCTAATATTTAAATATTTATTTGATGTTTAAAGATTTTGGATAGCAAATATTTATAATTTAAAAATGTATATATTATGTAGGAATTTTTTTTTATCTTTGGAATTTCAATATAATAGCTTTAATCTCATTTATTTGATATTTGAAAAAAAAATCGCATAAATATGCATGAAAAAAAATATTAAATGCCAATAAACCTGAAAGGATACATCAAATTACATAAATACCAATACATATACAGTACGCCACATATACATATTGCCAGCATTATCGACGATCTGTATAGAATCGAGAAACGTCGGCAAACAAAGTCATGTTTGTCGGCTATCATAATTCGTTCGCCCAAATAATGTGCGTCACATCTACTCATCATTATTAAGTGTATAAATGATACATTAATATTCGAAAGTTATTCGGATTCGATTTGAAAAAAACTCAAATTCGATTCGATTCTTATCAAGTCGAGTTCAAGTTCTAGTAGTTTGACTTATTGATCGAGTCAAATTCGAGTATTTTTATATCTGATTCGAGTAACTCGTAAGTTTAATCGAACTTTTATATTTAAATATATTTTTATTATTTTAATTAATAAACTATTTTGAATTCGAATTTAAGTTCGAATATAAATAATCGAACTCTTATCAAATATATAAATCAAATTTATTTTTACATATTAATCAAATTTAATCAAACGAATTCGAGTAATTCAAATTCGATTACGAATTGAACTCGATTTTAAAAAATAAAATTCGATCGAATTTAAATAAAATATCAAATTACGAATTATGAGTGAAATTTAAATTCAAATTTTTTATTATACCAATTTGACTCGATCATATTACAACTTACGTACCACCATTGCAGTTCAAATAAACGCTCTTCAAATTGAATGACCGAGGTTGAAACTTGAAAACCTTGTTTTAACGTTCTATTAAGGACAAATTCATGATGTATTTCGTAATAGGAATAATTATTGATGAAGAAAGTGATATATCCACCAACCAACTCAAAAAATTCAACGTATTTTGCCCACCCCACCGCCACTTGTTAATATAGTAATAAAAGAGTGACGCCAGATTTCGCAAAAAGTGACCATGATTCATGATTGGTTAGGACGAGAGATCATTATCTTTGATATTTTTAGTTGATGCCACCCCACCCAGCACCCAGGTTAGCTTAGGCCGGTCCATGGACTTATTAGGGATGGACGTGAAAAAGTTGCTTTTATCACTGGCCTGGCAACCACAAACGATTCGAATGGAGAGTGATAGGCTTCCGTTGCCAGCTGTTTGCTGATATGGAGATCGTTGCTGGACTTGATTTCGTGTTATGGAGATGACGTGACCACGAACGCTTCTTTTGTTATCTGCCAGCTGTTTTCTGATATCTGGCCATCTGCAAATGATGAATCAAACATTGAAACCTGCGGAGACTCCCTAGCCCTAACATACGACATATACTTCAGCGGAGGCGAGTAACTAAGCTTTAGCTTGGCTTAAATGCTGTTCACATTGTGTTTTGTTTTTTCCTGGAAAGATTTGCCAACAAGCCTAACGTAGGATTATTGCGGTCAGCCAACCAACCGTCATGAAATTTTTCATTAAAAGTCTGACGTCAGTTTAAATATTGTCTCCAGAAGACGGAAGACCTGTCGCTTTCTCCCACGACTCAAGTATAAAACTCGAAAAAATTCATTACCGACGCTTAAAAAGACTTCAATCGAAAACTACATAGCTGTTCTGGAAAGACAAACATTAACGCTGAATCTGCAAGGCTTTGTAGGTGCCATAGTTGGAATGCCAGTGAGAAAAGAAAATTCAATATACATGGCTGGGAAACTTATCCTTGTGATTTTGAAACGACGAGGGAAAATGGGCAACACCATTTCTCTTCCATTTCAAAATTCAAGGGCTCCACATTGAATTAATGCAATAAATATTTTGATATGTGATGCATCAATGCTACAATGAAAGCTGAAACACAAGTAGCCAACCTAAAACATTACTCTGCTGCTTAATGTCATGTAAGAGTTAAATGATCCATAATGCAGCCACTATTACAGTCAAGAAAGCCAAGTTAAAAAAAAATCGAAAATTTAAATTTAAATTTTAATATTTAAAATTTTTTTTACTATTTCAAAACTATAACCTTCTTTATACCAAATAAAATCGCACACTTTATTTACTAAAAATTTGACTGTTCATGGAAGAGAGAAAATGGATGATTTTGTGTATGTAAAATCCAAAAAGAGAAAAAAAAAAAAAAAGAAAGTTAAACTTGATAAAATGAGCAACACTTGATGTAGGTTTGTCGTGTGACTCCTGTCAATGCCTTTGGGCCTTTGGCAAGCAAAGAGTGGGCAGGGAAATAGGTCATTTTGTTTGGTATCTACATGTTTCAGTCCTAGTTTCTTGGCACGAAAGGATTTTGGTGGTGATGTGCGCATGCTCCACTGGACCATACATAGAAAAAGAAGGCATTGTTTCTCCTACAATTTATTATCCAGAATTGCAAAAATAGCACTCTGAAGTCTGAACGACTGTGAGCTGTCCAAGAAAAATGCTTTGAAATATTCCGAAAAATCCATCAACTTCAATGGCCAAATCCAGTGCCTCCTACTTCCCAAAACTTACAGTCAAAACCCCCGCAACCTAGTTTCTTCAAAATCAGTCTCTCTTCTTGAACGCTTTATCATTAGATATTCCAATGTCTGAGATTTTCTCTCTCTTTCTCTCTTGAAGAACCCAAAATAATCTTTTTAAGCTACCTCCCATGGATACCAAAAGGCTTCACATTTTCTGTCTAACTTTCATTTCACTCCTTTATTTCTCTACATCTTTCATTCCCACAAACAACTTTCTCATCAACTGTGGATCAAACGCCAACATTTCATTCTATAACCGCATCTTTATAGCTGATTCAGCCAAATCCGGTTCAGTTTTCCTCTCAGCAGAGCGATCTGTTTCACTCACTGACCCAAACCCATCTTCAAATTCACCCATTTTATACCATACGCTACGAGTTTTCACCACTGACTCGAGCTATAAGTTCAACATCAAGAAAAATGGGACAGGGACACACTTGGTACGTCTCCATTTCTCCCCATTTCAAGCTCAAAATTTTAACTTAGTATCTGCCAAATTCAATGTTGTGGTCAATGGCTTCTTGTTACTGAGTGGTTTTAGTGCTAATAGTATGCTGCTTAAAGAGTATATATTGAAAATAGATGGTGAAGTTCTTGAAATTATGTTTAGTCCTGTGGGTGATTCTGGTTTTGCGTTTGTTAATGCAATTGAGGTATTTTCAGTTCCCAAAGACTTTATAATTGATGATGGGGCTAGGTTGGTTAATGGTGATGGAATTGAAGAATACAAGAACTTAACATCGCAGGTTTTGGAGACTATTCATAGGGTTAATGTTGGTGGTTTAAAATTAACACCTTTTAATGATACTTTGTGGAGAACTTGGATCCCTGATGATGGCTTTCTTGTGTTTAAACCTTCTGCAAAAGGAGCAGTCACCACTCATGTACCAAATTATCAGACTGGAGGCGCAACCCGTGAAATTGCCTCGGACAATGTTTATATGACTGCACAGCAGATGAACAGGAATAATTCTGCACTGAATGCTAGATTCAATATCACTTGGGACTTTCCTGTAGGTTCACATGGTGCTCCACACTTAGTTAGGTTGCATTTTTGTGATATTGTCAGTCCTGCGCTTAATCTGCTATATTTCAATGTGTATATCAATGATTACTCTGCTTACCAGGATCTGGATTTGTCCATGCTAACATACCATGTGCTTTCATCTCCGGTCTACATAGATTTTGTTGCAGATTCGGATGATTCAGGGGTTATACGTGTAAGTGTTGGACCTTCAGACTTGAGTTCTCCTTCAAAAATTAATGCTATTCTAAATGGGGCAGAGATCATGAGGTTGGTAAATCTTAAAGGTTTTAACGCTGGGTCTAAGAAGAAAAACGTTTGGATTTTAGTGGGTTTTATTCTTGGAGGCTTTGTTATCTTTTGTTTAGCTGCAGTTGCAGTTCTGCTTGCATTTAAGAGCAAGAAGAAGAAACTAAAACCACCAAGACATGCAGAAAGTGCTGGTTGGACACCTCTACGTGTATATGGGGGCAGTTCATATAGTAGAATGTCTGGAGGGACTGTTACTACATCTCCAGGTGCTAATGGTTATCACAGCTTGAGAATCCCTTTTGTTGACATACAAACAGCAACAAACAATTTTGACAAGAGTTTGATTATTGGAATGGGTGGATTTGGTATGGTTTACAAAGGAGTCCTTAGAGACAATATTAAGGTTGCTGTAAAGAGAGGTGTCCCAGGGTCAAGGCAAGGTCTTCCAGAATTCCAGACTGAGATAACTGTTTTGTCAAAGATTCGTCACCGGCATCTTGTTTCACTTGTTGGATATTGTGAAGAACAGGCGGAAATGATATTGGTCTATGAGTACATGGAAAAAGGGCCATTGAAGAATCATTTATATGGTTCAAAACATCCTCCTTTGTCTTGGAAGCAAAGGCTTGAAATATGTATTGGCTCAGCAAGAGGTCTTCACTACCTACATACTGGTTCAGCACAAGGTATCATTCATCGTGACATTAAGTCTACCAATATATTGCTTGATGAAAATTATATGGTGAAGGTTGCTGACTTTGGTCTCTCAAGATCTGGCCCATGTCTCAATGAAACCCATGTAAGCACTGGGGTAAAGGGCAGCTTTGGGTATCTTGACCCTGAGTATTTCCGGAGGCAGCGGCTTACTGATAAATCGGATGTTTATTCATTTGGGGTTGTGCTGTTTGAGGTACTTTGTGCTAGGCCCGCTGTTGATCCACTGCTTGCTAGGGAGCAAGTGAACTTAGCAGAATGGGCAATACAGTGGCAGAAAAAAGGCATGCTTGGGAAAATTGTCGATCCCAACCTTGTGGGACAAATAAAGCCTAGCTGTTTGAAGAAATATGGAGAAACAGCTGAGAAATGTTTGGCTGAATATGGTGTTGATAGGCCAACAATGGGTGATGTATTATGGAATTTGGAGCATGCACTTCAGCTCCAAGAATCAGAGCCAGAAGAACCACGTGAAGATAGCAACGTGAATGGAATGGATTGTCCAACGCCTAGTGTTGCACCTTCTAGCAATGCTAGGACAGCGAAAGACGATGGTAGTGGTAGTTCAGACTTAACAACAAGCAAAGTTTTTTCACAGTTGGTGATGAATGAAGGCAGATAGTTTAAACGGTCAATGCTGCATGGATACAATCTAGGTCACTTCTCATTCTCGAAAATTTCTACTAGAATCTATATGTATTGAAAGTTTTAGTTGAAGTATAACCTTCTTTCTTTACTTCAATATTTCTTGTACTGTATCAAAGCTGTATTTTTATCATCATTCTTATGTAATAGTAAAAATAATTGGTTTAAAATATTTTATTTTCTTTTCGGTTCCTTAAGATTAATTTTTGTATATTCAGGGTATAGAATTATAGGTGACTGTTATCCAAAAGTAATTGTAGATTTCTCTACTCTGCCCACTTATTTTTTGTTGGTTCAGTTATTAACTTAAAGCCTGATTATGTTGATGTTGGATTTGGATGCTTGCATGGAAGTCGAGTCAGTAGTCAGTACTTGTTAAATGTGGCTAATTGCTTAAATTAAGACTAACCATTGGCATATTGCTCATATTAGGATCAAAATTTTGAATTGAAACCCGCATTAGGCTAAAATTGAAAAATTAGCAGAGAAAAAGAAGTCTTGAAAAGTTGAAACTGAGAAAAAAGGCCTGTGTAGCAGTTTAGACACATACAGATCATTTGATGATAGAAGGGAATAGCTCATTATAATGGTTTCTTGCCAATGTGACTTTCATGTGCCTTAATTCACGATAAATCCAAGTGCTGCAAGAAACCTCTAGTGCTTGCTCAAGGATAATTGTTACTAATATTAGTACTAGTTTTTGGAGATTAACCTTGCCAACTCCTGTGATAGTGATTATTAAAACTGTTTAGGATAAAGCTGGAATGTGAACCATGAAGTTTGTATTTTTTCTTTTCTGCTGGGGCCTACGACTGAAGTTGTCAGCAAAAGTATAGCTATATAGAGACTTCCTCTGCCTGATTTAAACTGTGAATTCAAGACATGTACCAACTGGCTCTAGTTACATCATTTTCACATAATGAAACCTGTGACGTCATGCCCTAAACAAAGCACATACATGCCAATGCGAATTTCTCTTTCTTTTTTTCCTTTACCTTTTATAAGAAAAAGATAGGGAACTGAACTTCAATATATGATTTTGAACTATTGATTTCTAATTTGAGGTCTAAATTTCATTTATATGTCAAGTTATGCCCGATTTATAATCATGTTATTTCAAGCTTGAAATGGTTAGTGCATGCTACAACAACAAAGTTATGTACAAGTAACCTTAGCTTATGGTACTTGGATTTGCCATATAAGGAAAGATAAATGGAAATTTCAACATGAATTGGGTGGCAGACAATGTTTATGGCTGCTAAGAGCTGAGGAGTTGCTTGATTGATTTAACTGAATCTTTAAAAATTGCAAACATGGGAAAAAGGTTGCAAGGGTGGAAGATCTATGAACTTAGAATTATCATATGCGTGTGAACCGGAGAGACCCCAAAAAAGCACTTGCCAAAAGAGTTAAAAAAATCATTGATTGATTTAAGAGTGTATTTGGTTTGGGAGAATTTATAAATTTTCTTTTGAAATCTTGATGGTTGGTATTTGTTTCTCACGTTTGGTTCAGAGTAATTTGATTATGGGAAAAAATATCATATTTTCAACAGTACCTAAAATCTTAAAATTAGAAACTTATTTCTCTCTATAGTATTAGGATTCCAGAGGAGAAAGGTACCTTATTTTAAAATTTGACTTGAATAAAAAATTATCACATAGCTGTTATCCTTTTGAAAAGCATATTTACAAGTGATTGGAACTTAGTTGTAGGTTTTTGTCAATGGTAATTTAATTTTTTTTATATTGCAATTAAGGTATTTCAATGAAGAAATGCCTTAATTGATAATCAATTAAAGCATTTGTATACAAAAACGCCTTAATTGATCATCAATTATATAGTGTTTCATCCTTGAAACACCTTAATTGATAAAGATATCAATTAAGATGTTTCTTCACACAAATGCTTTAATTGATCCTTTATTATTATTATTATTATTTTATTTTTTGCTTTCGAAAATTGTGTTATGACATGAATGCTTTTCAATCACAGTATGATAAAGATTAAAGTGTCCGTCAATTAAGGCATTTGTGTAGAAAAATGCCTTAATAAGTTATCAATTAAAATGTTTCTTCCTACAAATGCTTTAATTGTTGTATATTAAAATTTTGTTTTTTCTCCTAAAGATCGTGTTCTGACGATATAAACATTGTAATATCTAATTGTGAAGCAGAAAAACCTATATTTTATACATCAAATAAGGCGTTTGTATATATAAAATGCCTTATTTGATGTCTTCATCATGTTTCAATAACCAATATGTTTCTGATTTTTATTTCAATATATCTCAGCTCATAGCATTTACTTTTCTCTTTAAACCAATTTCAGCTTTAACATCCATCATTTAATCTTCATCCTATTAAGTTTATATTCATTTTTACATAAAATGGTGTGTATACTTTTTTTATTGATCTTTTTATTTGATTTGCATTATTAATTGCCTTCCAACATTTTCCTTTTTTTTTTTTTTCACATTTATAGATGTCATTTAGATTTGGATTTATGTTTCTAATATAAACGCCTTGTTTTGTGGTTTCTTTGTTTCAGCTTCTTCATCCAGAAATGTTTTGTTGCTAATTTATATTTTATTTGATGATGTTTGATAGATTTCATGCATCATATGCCAAGATTTGCTTTTTATTTATGTTTTCAACTCTAAAATATTTTGTTTTCTAAATAGTTATAGCTAGTTTATCACTAAAAACGAAGGTGTAATTGGTTACATTACTTATGATGTATTTGAACCAGATGAACACGTTGTTGCATATGTTATATTTTGTTGCTGTAACTTTATTACATATGAATGTTAGAAAATGACGTAGATTATTTTATGGTGGAACATTTTATAATAAGCTACATATTAGAGGGTTAAACTTAAATATAATATTCTTTGAGAGCGATAGATAATGTGTAGATAATACTAGAATAGACAGGAAAGCTTTTGTAAAATTATGTCATTTGCTTAAAACAGAATGTGTTACAACCATCTAAATATATGTTAATAGAAGAACTAGTTATTAGCTTCCTCTACATCATAACCCATTATACAAAAAATAAGGTTATGAAGTGTCAAGTGGTCAGATCTAAAGAGATAATTAGTATATAATTTTATTCCGTGTTGAATTATGTTTTAAGATTGCATACATTATTGTTTAAAAAACCTGAACTGATATTAAAAAATTTAATAGATAATAGATAAAAATAGTTCAAAAATTATTTTGGTACTTTAGATAGGATATATATCAAAGTCAATGTAAACGCAGTTGACAAGCCTAGATACACCACTAGAAAAAAAGAAATTACTACCAATGTCCTTGGTGTTTGCATCATAGATATGCAATTCATATATGTTGTACCGGGATGGGAAGGTTTACAGTAGATGATAGAATGCTAAAAGATGCCATTACACGTAGGAATGGGTTAAAGATCCACAAGTATTATTTTTATATATTCGTGTTATGTTAATAACGAAACATCTGTTTTCTATATTATTAATGTTGTTAAGTGAATCACATGTAATTGCTATTTGTACGATGTCAGATACATAAATATGGAAGGATTTTTGACATCTTATAAAGGTCAACAATACCATTTTAGTGATTTTAAGGTAGGACTCCAACCGACTACCATGCAAGAATATTTCAATATGAAACACTTTTAAGCAAAAAATTTTATGGAGAGATGTTTTGGTATATTGAAAACTAGATGTGCAATTTTAATGGAGAAATCATTTTATTCAATAAAGACACAATGTAGAATCATTTTTGTTTGTTGCATTTTCTATTATTTTTTTAAGTCTAAGATGGTTTTCGACCTTATCGAAGGTGATGTTGTTGAAAGAAGTATTAGCCAATCAAATAAATTTGAACATCAAGATTTGATTACGTATGTTTAGCCATCTAATTCTTGGACTTAGTTTAAAAATAATTTAGCTAATGAGATATTCACCCATTGGTTGTATAGTCTTGGACATAAAAACATTATAGAAATGTTTTATATGTTATAACGTTTTCTCAAATTATTTAATTATATGCAATATATGGTTAAGTATAGAATTTGTTTTATATCAATGTTGAATATATGTTTACATTATATTTTTTTATTCTTGAGTGTCCAACATATATTACAATTTGAAGTACACATTTTTTTGTTTTCTTTCCATGTATATTCATTTATTTTATTTCCTTGATGGGTTTTTGATTTACTATATTGATATTGTTGCATAATGTCTAGTTATGTGATTAGAAATTGAACATGTCTTCATGACATGCCGATCTATCACAATCCGTTCAAGGCCTACCTAGAAGAAAAAATGAAAGTTTGAACGTAAATAACAATTTATGGACTCGAGATGAGGATTTCTATATTGTTTAAAGCCTACATTCTTTGGCAGAAGATCTTAGATGAAAAGCGAATAATGGAACATTTCGCTTCGAATATCTAGGTTATATTGAACAAATACTGGAACAACTCATTTCCACTTCAGAACTTAAAGCCACCCCTCACATCGAATCCAAGGTTAAGCTACTCAAAAAACAATATTATGCAATTTGTGATATGAAAAATTTTAGTGAATTTGGATGGAATGATAAAAATATATATATCATAGCTGAGAAAAAAGTTTTTGATGAGTGGATTTAGGTAAGTTTTTTAAAATTACATTATGGCTTACCTTACTTATTTTCATTTTTTTCTATAGGTTTTATTTGATTCGTATTTGCTTGAACTTTTGGTAGGCACATCCACATGCTAAAAGGTTAAGGAACAAATCTTTCCCATTTTTTGATGATTTTAAAGTGATTTTCGAATTTGATAGAGCAATCAATCAAAGAGCTAAAACAACAACTGATATGGTTGAATCATTGAATACTAACGAGGATGTTTATTTCTCTCTAGAGTTTGATATCCACACTAAAGAAATGCGAAGAGAGGAGATGATAAAAAAAAAATTGGTTCGGTTCCTCTGAGTAACGCTATGATGACGTTGTTAGGCAAGAAGCGTTCTAGGAGCGAGGATGGACCAATCATTGATTTGGTTGATTGCATTGACAAAATTAATGCATTATATGATAGGGCTATGAATGTAATTAAGGGCATTTTAGCTTGCTTCCAAATAAAAGTCAAGGATACAGATAGACAAAAGTCACTTTTCAATGAAATAATGTAACTCGATGAATTTACATCGGATGAAATCATTGTTGCTGGTGAGTATATGTTGAAAGAAATCACAAAGTTGAGTTTTTCTTTACTATGTTGGTTGTATTTAGACTTAATTACATTATAAAATAGTTAAACGAATGTAATACTTATCACCCATCGTTTGACTTTTATTCTCCTGGATACATATAGATCGCACTACATTTTGTATACAAATTCATATAATAATTTTGTAAACATATTTATTTAATTAAGACAAGAAGCAGAAGGTTGTAAATACGTAAATTGTGTGGCATGTTATACATTTGTTTATTTATAATGGATATTGTACTTGAGTGAATCAAATAAATATTTGTATTACTATGAATTTCATATTTGTATTTAGAGAACAAAAATCATAATTGTTCGA